TTGGAACCAAATTCCTGCCTTTGAGATAAGGAGCATTAAAAAAAAATCCTTCTAAAAAAACTTAACATGAGGGTTAAACACTGGCAGGGTATGGTGGTACACTCCTGTAATCCTGGCGCAAGGGAGACCAAGGCAAGAGGAGCCAGAGTTTTGGGCCATACAAGGTTTAAATAATGAGACCTTATTTTAAAAAAGAATTATTGATATTATACTTTTTTTTTTTGGTTGGTTGGTTGTGGGGCTTGAACTCTGGGCCTGAGCTGTTTAGCTCAAGGCTAGCACTCTGCCACTTGAGCCACAGTGCCACTTCCATTTTTCTGGTGGTTAATTGGAGATAAGAGTCTCACAGACCTGCCTGCCGAGACTACCTTTGAACCATAATCCTCAGATCGCAGCCTCCTGAGTAGCTAGGATGACAGGTGGGTGCCTGGCTGACGTTATACTTTTGAAAGAGCTCATGAGGGTGTGGGTATGGGTGTGCGTGCTCACACACATGCACACCAGTACTGGGATTTGAACTAAGATCCTGGGTGCTTTCCCTTAGCTTTTTCATTCAAAACTAGTGCTCTACCACATGAGCCATATCTCTTTCAGTTTTTTGGTGGTTCTTTGGAGATAAGAGTCTCTCAAACTTTCCTCCACAATCCTCAGATTTCAGCCTCCTGAATACCTAGGATTACAGGCATGAGCTACCAACACCCAGATGAGCTCTGAGATTTTAAGGAGCCCAGTGCAGCAATGCTGGGTGTGTCTACAAGAGCCTTTGCAGGTGTGTTCTCCACCTGCAGGGGTCGCCAATGAGTCAATGAGTGATCCACGGCTTGTGGGCACCACTTGGGCCAAGGGCTGCTAAATTCTCTGCTCTTCCTTTTCTAACTTAGAAGTGACTTCTAGCTGGGTGCCAGTAATTCTGTCTACTCATCAGGCCCCTGAGATCCGGAGGACTGCTGTTCAAAGCCAGTTGTGAGAGTGAAACAGTACTGTCCTATACCACGAAGCTATAACCATGCGTCCCCTGAATCGGGTCCCCCTTAAAGTGGGAAATGGGGTCCTGTCCTTGTGCTTTCTGTACCCCTTAGTCCTCTGCACAAACACCACCATCTGTCACTGCCCGAGTCTCATAGAAACAGTTAACAATTTACACATCCCAACTGCTGCGTGTTGTATAAACATGAAGTCAAGAGCCAGCCCCGGGGATGGCTCAGCCATCTGAGGCACACGGCTGCAGAACCTTCCAGAGGCCACACTCCCCTCATATTTATTTACCTGGCAGGCCGCAGAATGAGTCCATTTTGCTTTATGTGCAAAACTTTTCTCCTGGGCCAATGTTCCGATGCCCCCGAATGACATATTGCAAAATGAAATAAAAGTATCAAGAGCAGTAATTTATTCTGGAAATCCATCTTCTGAGAACTACAGCTATCTGCCTTGTCCACCTCGCTTAGCTTGAACCTCCGCTGTCACCCGCATTCAATTACTTCCTAAGTCAGAGGTAAACTTCACATCATAAAATACCACTCACAGCCGCATCCAGCCCATCCAAAATCTGCATTACTCTCTTGACCCGAACGCCTAGAAATCCACAATTCACACATCGACCAGCTTCGCCCTATCGATATGCCTCTCCCTTATGGTGTATTACGCTAATACATTACCCAGCCACAGCTTTCTGCGGTGATGGATAAGGGCAATTCGTTAGGAAAGCCCGCTTCCTCCAGCCATGGATCGTGCGGAGGACGGCGGGCCACTGATGAACGACACCAACAAGGGCACCAGCCAGGAAGGAACAAGTGCAAAGTGGGTTCAGCCAGGCAGAGAAACACAAACTCGATCCCACCAACCCATCCCCCTTCGCCTCCCCCAGCACCCCACCCCGCTGGCCTTCACCCACCACCTTTGTCTCTGCAAACGCTGCCCATCTCTCCCAGGGCTTGGATGGAGACTAAGGTTCACAGGTGCTGCTTTAACTCTGGATACTTCCCAATGAAATTATTAAAAGCAAATTGCATAGGAGATCCTCTTTGGGTTTTTGGTTTTGTTTTCTTTGGGGTTATTGAGCAGTTTGGATGACTGTAGCTATAGGCACCAAAAGACATGGAGAACCATTTTCCCACCGATGTTAGGAAACAGCTTAGAACAGTAAGGATGCTGATGTCATTTGGCCGAGGACGCAGCAGTCTGTGTCATGCAGCACCAGTACTTTCTCAGCACAAAACTTTGGCCAGATGATCAAGGCCAGGCCTGGGGGGTGTGGGGGGGAGGGAGCAGAGGAGGTGTCTGCTCACCTGTCTCCCATCCTGCTCAGAGGACCAGCCCACCAGGGCCTTCTCTGGCTGATGGCTGACACCTGAGTTAGCAAGCACCATACTTTTGCTAATGCAAGTCATGTGGCCAAAGCCAGGGCCCCAGATTAGATGAATCAATGGAGACAGACTCCAGCAATGGAGTCGCATCAAACAGCGAAACCCAATCAACGACTGCTATACATGGCGTCCTGAATCGCACAAAAACACTGCTAGGGAAACGGAGGTTACATGCTGAAGCATTTGTAGTTGTGATTCACTTATATAAATTTGGAAATGAGGCATGAGTTCCGACCATGGAAGGAATCGGGCTGGGTCAGCACTAGCAGGCTGGGGGTGGAGTTCACACAGTAGAAATTCCTGCAGGATGCCTATAATTTGTGATTTTACGTATTTGCTTCATTTCAGTTAAAATGCTCACTTAAAGAATGGCATGCAGGTCATATGTTATGCCTAGAGTAGAATATAAACGAGACAGCCAAGAACAAGAAGATAAACACATCCACACAACACATAATGCGGTCACCCCGGGCAAGCTACGGGGCAGAGGGATGGGGGACAAAGACAGGAAGAGGGAACAAAGCCGGGCAGGGGCTTCCCTCTGGGACTGGGTTCAATGCTGCTTACCCCTACTTTAAAAGAAAAGCTTGCCAACTGATGACCTACTCTGATGTAAGATTCAGGTGCGGGCGTGTTATTGGCACTTTCAGATCCTGCACCCATTTAGCAAAGAATTCTCCAGCAAACCTGATTTCCAATCTGGCCTCTACCTGCTTCCTGACCCTACAATCTAGAACTATGAATTGCGCAAGCCTCACTTTTTTTTTTAACTTGGCTTGTAGAAATAACAAGACCATGACCCTCAAAGGGATTTTGATAAGTTAATAAGCTGTTTCATAGGCACTGCTTAATAATTGCCCCAAAGTTAGTCTCAGCAAGTCTAAGTGCTTGTGGTCATCTAGTTATCTACCCACTGATCTATCAACCATCCTCCCATCTACCCCTCCACTCACCCATCTATCCATCCACCCATCTATCCCCTCATCCACCCATCCATCCATCCACCCTTGCATCCATCCATTCATTCATCTACCTATCTTTACCACTCACCCACCTACAAATAGCTCCATCCTACCCATCCATCCATTCACACATCCACAAATCCTTCTAACCATTCAATCATCATTCACCTGCCCACCCACCCATTCTTCCATTCATTATTCAACTCTTTCTTCCTCCTTCTACCCATTCACCCACCAAGACTTAAAAAGACATAGGAAATTGGAGTTTTATACTCTATTTTAGTTCTCTTATTCTTTTTTTCCTTAGTGATCTTGGACAAATAGTTCAAATTCTCTAAAATTTTTTGTCTTCTATAAAATAGGGAGAGTGTGCTTGTCCTTACATTACAAAACTACTATGAAAGTTAAATGATTTGTGAAAGCAACCTCAGCCAATATGTCTACTTACTGGAGTAACAAGGCCTCTTGGCAAAGGGAGAGGCATCCCAGGGTAGACAAAGAAGAGGCCCAGAATCCAGGCCATCTCACACTTCAGATCCATAGTCTTCATTCCTACAGTGCCTAGCACCTTGCTGGGATTTCCTCAAGTCCCCAACTAAATGCATTATATCTCCTGTTATATCAGCTAAACTGACCAGCCCCCTCAGCCCACCATCCATATTCCCTGCAAGAAAGCCCATGAGACTTTTATCTCCATTAAGCATCAAAAAATCTTAGCGGAGCTGTGACTCAAGTGGATGAGCAAAAGAAGCTCAAGGATAGCGCCCAGGCCTTGAAGTCAAGCCCCAGGACCAGCACACACACACACACACACACACTGCATACAGCTTGATGTCAGCATGTTTGCACTGAGTGTTTACCTGGCAGGCTCCGTAGCTAGCAAGGAAGCCAGCTCAGGGACTAACGTTTGCTAAGAGCTCACTACTCACCAGGCGTTGCTGCTCCCGTGTCCCCGCCATTCAGCGCTCCAAGTCTGGCCCACAAGGTGCTGCTCATCTTCCTTCTTCCTGCAGATGAGGAACTGGACCAAAGACCGGAAGTGACTTGTCGTGTGACTGCTTAGAATCCTGAAAGTCACACTCCGAATGTGTAAGCCCCTCTGTCCTACTCCAAAGCTCATGTTCATTCTCTTTTTGCTGTAGTACCTGGAAAAGACTCCATTCCAGGCAAAACCAACTCAAGAGAGTCAGAGCAAGATGGAAAACTAAGTAGGAGCAGGCGGATAGCGCAGGGGCAGCGAGCCTGGATTCGGTCTCCAGCACAAAAGAAAAAAAGACAAAAGAAAAAGCAAGAAAAATAAAGTAGTTAACGTAGAAATTTTAGTATTTGTTTAGTGTTTTCTGATTATTTGATTTGCAGCACCAGAAGAGCTATTATCAAGCCACAGATATGACAGCTATTTTTGAGTCAGGAATAAATGGAAAAAAAATTAATAACAAAAAACTTGCTGGGCCCAGTGGCTCACGCCTGTAATCCTAGCTGAGATCCGGAGGATCGTGGCTCACAGCTCAGGCAGAAAAGTCGGTGAGTCTCTTTTCTTCAAAGTAAACAGCAAAAAGGTGGGCTGAAGGCATAGCTCAAGCGGTAGAATGTTGGCCATGACCAAGAAAGCTGAGAATCTGAGGCCCTGAGTTCAAGCCCTAGGGGAAAAAAAATGAAAACGAAGAGACAATTGTGCAGCTGACAAAATTTATTAGACATGCTCTCTGAAACACTTCTTTTCAATGCACATGATTCTAACAGCAAATATTTTTTTTTACCATTCATTCAAATACAGTATAACAAGTTTATTTAGAATAAATATAAATATACAAAAGTGTACAAAGATGCTAAACAAGTTTCTAATGATGGTGGTGTGTTTAAAAAGCAGGACTAAAGATGAAACACCAGGTATCAAGACAAAAACTACTATTCTGATAAGTTAGGCATCCTTCGAGAACGTTCAGCCTCCAGGAAAAATCCTTACCGCCCATCTCCAGTTCATCAGACTTGAAGTGCTACCGATGCCCGAGCACTGCCTGATACAAAGAGAGACCTCGAGAACACAAGCTCAGACACCAGAAAGAATATGAACACCGATTTGCACGCAACACCACCTTCAAGCATCTGAAGACACGGCGTGGTTCGCGCATGTTGCTCTGACTACCACAGCCCGCCTTGTCTTACTCTCCCTGCCTGACCAGGGGCCCACGCGTCATCCTGTTTTACTCACGCTACTCAGACCACCCCCTTACTTATGCCCAATGTCCACACAGCACCCGCCAGTGACAAGGGTACTAAAAACCACTGCTCTCAGATGCTGCACAGGCATGCCCAAGCAGTTATTACGTCTGTTTTGGAGTTACACGTATTCTAGGGGTTAAAAATGTCAAACTGCTTTCTTTAGGTAACATCAAGCCGAATATGATCCAGATTGTAAAGCGCTTTTAAAGCTGAGACATATAAGCATCTTTCCTCTCCATCCACTCACGTGCCAGCACTTTCATTAGACCTTTAGCAAAGCAAGGAAAGGAACAGCCACCTGTCTCTGACATGGGCTTGGGGCTGTCTCACCCCATAGCCCCTCTAAGGACCATGGGTAATGCAGTGGAGTACTAAGCCAGTGAGCACAGCACCACTGGAGCACCAGGCTCTAATTGAGGGAGTTACTTACATCACGGGAGGAACGGGAGGCGTACCTCGAGCGTGCATATTATTCAAAATGGCCACTCAGTTAACCCTTCAGGAAAAAACAAATTCTGGATTTGCTAATGCAAATCAGGCCATTTCCCTGGGCAGCTCCCCCAGGCTATTAGCAGGGAAGAGAAACAGAAACTTAAAGTCACTGATGTTCTGATTTCCCTTTTCAGGGACAGACGGATGGAGCAGCTGGAGCACGCAGCTGAGGAGACGCAGCTAGAGCTGCAGCCACCACCTCATTTGCACTGTGCGGAGAAACCGCGGGTGTGCACACGGAAGCTGCCAGAGCCGCTCCCATAATGCTGACGTTGTGCACACGCAGTGTGGGGCGGCGCAGAGACATGGGCTTCTCCGAGATATTTACACTCCATCCTTTCCCTTCCGCTGATTTCCCCTCCTTTTCCTGCTGGTGTCCTGCCCCTCCAGGCCGGCCACCAGGTCTTCACACCCACTGGATCCCCCCGGGCGCGCCCCACTCTGCGCTCAGTTCTGGGGGCGCAGCCTGCAGCTGGTAGACATGCTTGGGGACGCCTCTGCTGCGGCCCGGCCCGCTCGGTGGAGCAGCTTCTCCGCCGCCGCTGCTCTGATTGTGAGATTTCCAGGCTTTCGACAAATCGAGTCTCTCTTCAGATTCGAAACATATGAGCAGTGACTTAGCGAGAGACTCGAGGTCCCCCAGGCCGGCTCCCGGTGTCTCCATCGTGGCTGCGAGGACAGGAGGCGAGAGCTCACCCAGGACGCAGTGCACGCGGCCGGCCACGCTGCAGAAATCTTCCACGAGGCTTCTCAGGGGATGGGCGTCTCCTGGGCCTCCTGGGCACGAGGGGAGGGGGGACAGTTCTAATCAGGTAACTTTTACGTCAACACAACTCTAATCAGGTACAGCTGATCCTAGCTACTCAGGAAACTGATTATCTGAGGATCTCTGTTGGAAGCCAGCCCAATTAGCAAAGTGAGAGAGAGACCCTTACCTCCAATAAACCAGGAAAAAGCCAGAGGGGAAGCTGTGCTTCATTGGTAGAATACCAGCCTTGAGTTAAAGAGCCAAAAAAGCTCAAGGCCCTGAGTAAAAGCCCAGGAAGAGGACCAAAAACAAAACAACCCCCAAAATACAATTCCAGACTATTTAAAATTATTCAACTGCAGTGGTTATCCACTAGGCAAGTGCTTTGTTTTTCTAGAGCTGGTAGGAGGGTTGAACTCAGGGCTTAGGAGGGGTCCCTTAGCTTTTTTCTGCTTAAGCCTAACACCCTACCATTTGAGCCACAGATCCACTTCTGGCTTTTTGGTGGTTAATGGGATACAAGAGTCGTATGGACTCTTCCTGCCCAGGCTGGCCAGGAAGCATGATGTGAGTAGTTAGGATTATAGGCATGAATGCCGCCAATACCCAGCATGCACCTGGCTTTTCTAGCTATGTTCACAGAAAAACATCCAGACATATTAGGCAGAATCAAGTTCCTGTAGATGAAACTACTGTCAAAGAGGAAGCATCAGGGGGGTTTTAGTTATGATGTTAGCCAGGAGGGAAAAGGAGAGCTGGCTCAGAACCCTTCCTCTACAGACTGCTTGGTGCACACTCCATTTATTGTGCATACCTCTCAGTGCAGAAATCACCATTTGCATGGTTTTCTCTAAGCAGTATGTTAACTGCAATAATTCGGGGGCAAGATGAACCATCTTCTTGCAGTTTTGGAATCTACAATCTTCTTGTCCAGGAGCTCTGAAACTTTTCTGTGTGAATCAAGTTAAGATTTAAAAAGTACACAAAATAGGCTACTTGGCAATAAACTTGTATCAAGATGATATTTAATTGTCAGGAACTTATTTTTAATAAACAGTCATTTCCAAACCAATGCTTAACTCGACTTCCGTTAAGACCAAAGTTAATTACTAACATAATTATCTTTAAAAAGATACAATTTGCAACGAATTTTAAAACGAAGTCTTATTGTCCTACTATGAGAATGGAATAAAGCAACTTGCATGAACTTATCTATTAACATAAAAGATAAACTTATTTAATTAAAAAAATTCAATTTTATAGTACCTCCCATTTATCATATTTAACAAAAAAATTGCTTTTTTTCCCCTAATTCCACTAAAGGCTCCATCAGAAATAAGTTTCTTTGCCCCTTATATTCAATGTATACTAAGTAATAATTGAACTATATAACTTGGGGTTAGGGATGGGAAGGGGGAAATGGGGAGAACAATGGAAGGAATGATAATGATCAAGATACGTTGTACCAGCTCCTGCCTATAATCCTAGCTACTGAGGAGGTTGAGATCTGAGGATCAAGTTTCAGAGCCAGCCAGGTCAGGAAAGTCTGTAAGACTTTTTTTTTTTTTGGTCTTGGAGCTTGAACTCCGGGCTTGGGCGCTGTCCCTCAGCTCTTCAGCTCAAGGCGAGCACTCTACCACGTGAGCCACAGTGCCACTTGCGGTTTTCTAGTGGTTTATTGGAGATAAGAGTCTCGTGGACTTTCCTGCTCGGGCTGGCTTTGAACCATAATCCTCATATCTCAGCCTCCTGAATAGCTAGGATTACAGGCTTCTGTCTCTTATTTCCAATAATCTACTCAGAAAATGCCAGAAGTGGTGCTGTGGCTCAAGTGGTAGCACACTAGCTTTGAGCACAAAGAAACTCAGGGAGAGTGCCCAGGCCCTGAGCTCAAGCCCCAGGACTGGCCAAAAAAAAAAAAAAAAAAAAAATTCACTGTAACCTCTTTGTACAAGTGTTTAATGATATTTTAGAAAAAGAAAGAAGTTTCTTTCTGGGGCGGGGTAGGGGGACCTGGGGTTTGAACTCAAGGCCTTTCACCTGCTAGTCAGGCACTCAGCCACGCTTCCAGTCATTACTCTCCTTTTATTGTTTTATTTTTATTTTTTGTCAGTCTTGGGACTTGAACTCTGAGCCTGGGTGCTGACCCTCAGCTCTGCAGCTCAAGGCGAGCACTCTACCGCTTGAACCACAGCGCCACTTCCGGTTTTCTAAATAGTTTACTAGAGATAAGAGTCTCACAGACTTTCCTGCCTGGGCTGGCTTTCAAATGCAATCTTCAAATCTCAGCCTCCTGAGTAGCTAGGATTACAGGCGTAAGCCACCAACCCCTGGCTTTTTAAATTTTTAAATTTTATTTATTTTGCCAGTCCTGGGGCTTGAACTCAGGGCCTGGGCACTGTCCCTGAGCTTCTTTGGCTCAAGACTAGCACTCTACCACTTGAGCCACAGCTCTATTTCTGGCTTTTTCTGTGTATGTGGTACTGAGGAATTGAATCCAGGGCTTCATGCATGCTAGGCGAACACTCTACCACTAAGCCACCTTCCCAGCGAGTTACTCTCCTTTTAAACACTAATAACATAACTAGTTTATATTTTTCTATTTACCTGAGACATGGGAATAAGGTAATTTGTCTTATTTAGTTGGGTTTTAAATCTTTGAGCTGAGTATTAAGCACAAAAGCTAACAGATACTAATCCAGTAGCTCTGAGAAACAAATGTAAGGACACTGTATTAACAAATTCCTACTCAACCTTGTGTCTATTACTAAAACTAGTAAGTTACGATATCTGCAAAGTAGCTACAGACTAGCAAATGTGCTTCAGTTAAACATGTACAGAAGAGTTTTCTTTGACTAAACATAAAAAAGTGAAATAAATATGTTATTAATTGAAGTGAAATGATAAAATACACTAAATGGAATTTAAAAAGCAACTTAAATCTTCTCTTACTGTTTTCCATTCAGAGAAGGTGTCTCCAAGAGATCTGATCAGTCCCACGGCACTAGCTTTCATCTGCTTAGTGACCTACAGAGAATAAATATTTTATAATGCAAATCATTATTTAGAAATAAAAATCCTAGAATTGCATGGGAATCCAATAGAGAAAGTTCTAGTCTGCAAAGCCAGAAGATTGAAGTTCTGTCTCTGGGAGTGTAAATAAGTAGCTTTAGGGTATCTAAATCATATAAATGGAATCTCTTTCAAAAATAATTTGTATACTGATTTCTCCAATAAACATACTCTTAGATGTCTGGGATAACAAGATTTGTCTTTTACTTAAATATTAACAGGATCAAATTAGCAAAACTTTCCATGGAAGGAAGTGAGGAAACTGACATACCAAACAAACATTAGATGCTGTGAGAACTTCACAGACATTTCACTATTTGATGCATGTACTATTGCCCATTAAGGGTCTTAACCCCTTAACCCATGCTGGTTCTTAACCCCTGAGACCCAGAAGGACGGCGGAAGCCCAGTCTGAACCCTAAACCTTTGCTCGTGCATTGCTCAGTGCTGCCCCCTAAGGATCAGCTTCATTTCTGCCAGGGGATTCTGTTGAAGTACCCACAGAGCTCTACCCAAGACTAACTCAGATTTGTTAGGAAGGAAGGGAGGGACTGAGGGAGACAGGGAAGGAGGGAGGGAAGGAGGAAGGGAAGGAGGGAAAGTAAGGGAAGGAAAGGAGGGAGAGAGAGGGGGAGACCCAAATCTACACACACACACACACACACACACACACACACACACAGACGCAAACTAAAATGTATCAGTTTGTGAAAGCGGAATGCACTGTGTTGAGCTGTGCTCTGCAATGAACTACCCAGGACGCACCTCATGCTGTGCCCACTGCCTCGAGAGTTCTTGTTCAAGTTCTTCTGCTTTTTCCAGTCCAGAGTCTAACAGGATCTTCATTCCTGAGCCCACACCATCACAAACAGCATCCATGAATTCTCCCTAGGAGTGATTTTAAGCATTAACTCATTTTTTTGGTCTGTGTAAGTAAAGCTAAGGGCATTTTCTAGAATCACAAATTTCTAAACTTAGTTTTTCATGTACTGGACTGGGTGAGAGTCTCCTGTAGTGGACAGAAATCATCAAATCAAGGACCTCAAAGGATTGTTCTCTTTTTTTGGAGGCAGATTCTCATCAGGTAGTCCAGGCTGGACTTGAACTTGTGATCCTCTGGCCTCTGCCTCCTGAGTGCTGGGATGTCTAGCGTCAAAAGGATTTTAATGGTTTGCAAAATGTATGTGTTTGCAATTATTTTAACCCACTTACATTGAGACTATTTTAAACCTTATTGTCCAATTATTGAAAGTACAAGTTACTTTGGGAAATGAAGCCGAGTTTAGTGACATGTTACGGAAGTCTCTAATGTTCCCCCATGAGGTCTTGCAGAACTAAGCTCTATGCAGTTACCTGGACACCGGCAGTCTGATTGTCCCTGCTGTCCAGGAAACACAGCTCGCTCCCTTTCAGAACGGCTAACTGCCCCACATATTTCACAGCTTGCTGAATAACCTGCTTCACTTTCCTTTGGGCCTCTTTCACCATGGATGAAATATCTGAACAGCATCCCTGAAAGATAAAAACGGGCCAGCGTATCCGATACGTGAGCTTACAAAGGGGAACAGAGCAAAGCCAGTGCGGGCTGGTGGGGAAGCTCAGGGCAGAACACGTGCTCAGCACGCCTGGTCCCCAGCACCACAAAAGAATCAAAGAGACAGATGAACACGGTGAAGGAAATAAATACACACTCACTGATACAGTGACCACTCTTCATACACATGCTCAAGCCAGAAAACACGGAGCCCTACAGCTATGAAAGATGGCAGCATGCAATACAGTGTCTACCTTCAGGAGCTCACATAGGAACAGGAGATACAAGCCAAGTGGGAAATTTAACTAGATAGACAGAACTGAGTAAACGACCCTGCCCACCCCCGGCTCTTTGACCTTTGATCTTTTCCTGTCCTGCTAACCATCTAATGATGATGAACAAATATACTTTCTTTTCTCAGAAGAAAAGGAGGAGAGGGCTATGTGGTAAAACCTGGAAGATGGGTACAGAGTGTATGTCCTAAAAAATGAAAAGCAGCTACACACCAGTAACTCTAGCCAGTCCTTTGTGAAAACATTATTTTATTTGGCAATCACAGCAACCTTCTCTTGTTTGTATCATTAGTCTTATTTTCCAGGTAAGAAAATAAGAATCAAGAAGTGAAGCGTGAAGCAGTTCACCCAAGGACACAGACTAAGTTAGCATGGACACCGACAGCCCGTGGTGAGTATTTCCCTATCACCACCACCGCGGCCCTCTCCCCCCCCCCCCCCCCCCCAATCCCGCACTGCCTCTAAAACCTGAGAGCCAACCAAACATACCTCCTCTCCTTTCTACCACAGAGCATGCTGTAGCTCGGTGCTTCTGCAGGCCTGAGCCGGCCAGGCCCCTCTGCTTCCAGCCCTCCAGCCAGTCCTCCCTTTTGTTTGGTGGGTCTAGCTGGGAGAACGTCTTCTTTATCTGTGACCATATCTGCGCATGGCCCATTCTGCCCTACAACCCTGTGCTTCCTCAAGATCCACATCCAAGCGAGCCTTCATCCAGTGTGAATTTAAAATTCATCCCACACCGATGGTCCTCGGTCACAGGATGAGACCCGTAGCCCCTCTTCAGTCTCAGTCCACAGACTATGAGGAGCACGGGTGAGCACAGGTAGACCCTCTTCTTTTTTTGGGGGGGAGTAGGCAGTCCTGGGGCTTGACCTCTGGGCCCAGGAGCTGACCCTCAGCTCTTCAGCTCAAGGCTAGCGCTCTACCACTTGAGCCACAGCGCTACTTCCAGTTTTCTGGTGTTTTACTGGAGATAAGAGTCTCACAGACTTTCATGCCCAGGCTGGCTTTGAACCATGATCCTCAGATCGCAGCCTCCTGAGTAGCCAGGATTACAGGCATGAGCCACTGAATTTTATCTAGTTTTAAGACAAGACAGAAAGCACATCTGAAAAGCCCACAGTTCTAATTTAGGTAAAGATACAGGTGATGGAAAGTGAATAAATACCCAACGATTAGAGTCTTCAAATAAGAACTCGATTTTCAGGCTAGGAGGCATGGTTCAAGCGGCAAGGGCAGGGTCTTGAATTTAGATCCCACTCCTGCCCCCTCCGCCCTCCCCCTAAGAAAAAAAGATGGAAAGAAATGACTTTACCTGAAGAAATAACTGCAGGTAGCCCCCCAGCGCTTTCATTTCTTGTCTCAGTTCATCTTCAAGCCTTGCTATGCTGGGACAAGGTAGACACTCATTCCACCAGTGTTTGAGTAAAACCACAAGCTGATCGAAAGCACACGTGATCTGTACAGCCAGGGACTGCGCTGCTCGATCCAGAGAGAACACTTTGAAAGAACAAGGAAATAACAGTGATCTAGGTGCACTATATGCATACATTGCCATGTTCAACAGGAACCCCTTAGTACAACTGCTTAAAGATAATAAAAAGGGAATAAATAAATAAGATAAAAAATTTTTAAAAAGAAATTTAGTGAAAGAAATAATCTCCAGATGAAAGATTCCACATGGCTGGAAATGTGTCTTAGTGGTAGAGTGCTTGCTTAGCATGCATGAAGCCCTGGGTTCGATTCCTCGGTACCATATAAACAGAAAAAGCCCAAAGTGGCACTGTGGCTCAAGTGGTAGAGTGCTAGCCTTGTGCAAAAGCAGCTCAGGGACAATGCCCAGGCCCAGAGTTCAAGCCTCAGGACTAGCACACACACAAAAAGACTGGACACATGATTACCGTGAAAACATTTAAGCATAGTCGAAAGCTGTTTGCCACCAGTGTCAAGTATCACTCCAACCACAGCACAGCACAGCCCAGAAAACAATGGCCCTGAGGTGGAGGGGGCGGTGGGGTGAGGGGCGGGGGCCGTGTCTTACAGTTCTCCTGACTCTCCTCATCCTGCTCTTCATGGGCTTTAGAAATGGCGAGCAGCACAGTATAGATTTTCAGCAGATTACTGATCAGGCTATCTGCTATAGATTTTTCTTCATCATAATTCTGTCCAAGAAAATCTATCGACGAGCCAATCAGTTCTTTGCAAATTCCAGGAAGAAGTGATTCTGTTGAATGAGAGCAGATGCTGCTTGATCTCTCCATTAAACCTGCACAAACAGAAAACAGCCGGTGTATGCCTGTCACACACCATACCTTCCAACCTGTGAATGCGGGAGCATTCTAGAATCTCCAGCCATAAAGCTTCAAAGGAGCTCATGCTTACTTCAATAGCTTCTACACGCCGGACCCAGGAAACAATTCCATGCAGGAATGAATTCACCCCTAGCAGCTGCAGTCCACAGCTTTAATAGCTTCTCCACCATAACAGAGGTGATGAGAAAACCCCAATACCCCAGCAGTTTAAGCTCCTTTTCTGAGCTGCAGGCTTTCTGTTCAAATTAGCTACCCTTGAGCCATACCTCCAGTTTGAGCTTGTTCCTGATTAACTGTCTTCCAGATAGTTCTGCCCAGGTTGATTTGAACCTCACTCCTCAGAATTCAGCCTCTTGATAGCTAAGATTTATAGGCATGACTCACTAGGACCTGACTTACTCTCTTCTTCATTTCCTTTTGGAAGGGATTAATTTCGTCTAGTAGTTTACAGAAAAACTGTAAACTACTAAAATAATGGCAATTACATAAAATGAAACCAGAAATGGGAAAAAAGCAGGACACAATGCATTATCTAAAAGTATATAAAACAAAATATCTCCATATAGAAATTTCTTCTAGTGGCATCCCACAATCAAGACAGGCCAGAGCCAGCTGCCTATCCGTAGTGAATGCAGTGCTGGGAGACACCTTCCAGACAGAGGGGAATTTTCTGAGCACTATCCAGCCCAGAAGGAAATGTGAATGCTTGAAAGAACTCATTGAGATCTTCAAGAGAGAACTTTATCTGGGAGGACCAACAAACAAAGATAACAACTCTCCAGAAATGCACAGGATTTGTCTTCTGGGCCAGCCCAGATGATAGAAGAAGCAAACTAAAAGGGAGGCAGGGGCTGGGAATGTTGCTTAGCGGTAGAGTGTTTGCCTAGCATGCTTGAAGCCCTGGGTTTGATTCCTCAGTACCACATACAGGAAAAAAAAACAGAAGTGGTGCTGTGGCCCAAGTGGTAGAGTACTAGACTTGAGCAAAAGAAGCTCAGAGACAGTGCCCAGGCCCTGAGTTCAAACCCCAAGACTAACTCATTAACTAACTACATACTGAAAGGGAGGCAGATGGAGGGGCCTAATAGGTCTAGAACAAAATCAGAATTTAGTTTAGAAGGAGAAAAAAAGAAAAGCTAAGAAACCAAAAGTGATAAATAGGCTGACTGTGACTTAGTATTACTATGATGGGGTGTGGTTTGACTTTAGTCTTCTAGAATAGTTAACTGTTTATTCATAACTGTATAAATGGACTTAAAGAACTTGCCCCTCCCTCCTCCTCCTCCTCTTTTTCTTTTCATTCAACATTATGTTTTAATCAGGTTGCTGTGTGAGTCATAATCATTACAGAGTAATCCACTGCTAGCTGATAGGAAGCTCTTTCTTTGGGATGGGGTCTTGCAATAGTGTCTGGTTTGGCCATTAACTCCTGTGCTCAATGATGCCCTGTCTCAGCCTCCTAAGCAGCTCAGATTATAGGAGTGTGGCATTATGTCCCCCTGAAAGTAGTGTGTGTGTGTGTGTGTGTGTGTGTGTATCTGTCTGTCCTGGGTGTTGTCCCTGAACTGCTTTTTGCTCAAGGCTAGTGCTCTACCACTTGAGCCTCAGCTTTTTTTTTTTTTTTTTTGCTGGTTGTGGGGCCTGAACTCTGGGCCTGGGCACTGTCCCTCAGCTCTTCAGCTCAAGGCTAGTGCTCTACCACTTGAGCCTCAGCTTTTTTTTTTTTTTTTTGCTGGTTGTAGGGCCTGAACTCTGGGCCTGGGCACTGTCCCTCAGATCTTCAGCTCAAGGCTAGTGCTCAACCACTTGAGCCACAGCGACACTTCCGGCTTTTTCTGCCTATGTGGTGCTGAGGAATTGAACGCAGGGCCTCATGCATGCAAGGCAAGCACTCTACCACTGAGCCACCTTCCCAGCCCAAGCCTCAGCTTTCTTAGGATTTTTGGTAGCTTAGTGAAGCTAAGCTTTCCTGCCCACGCTGGCTTTGAACCATAATCCTAAGACCTCAGCCTCCTAAGTAGCTAGGATTACAGCAGTGAGCTACTTGCACCTAGCAGTGGGATCATTTACAAGCACCAACGTAATACAAATCATGGTATACAATACAAAACGTGCTACAATTTCCTCTTTCACTTACAAAGAAATAACATCCCCCATAATTCTGAACACAAATGTCTTCCACATTTGAGTGGCCACTCTAATAAAAGGGTTTGGAATAAATCACAGAGCCTAGAATTTTAGGAGGAAAGAAACCACCCAATCCACCTCTTCATTTTATGATGGAAACATCTAGGCAGGAAAGGTGAGGAGGCGGGACTCGGTGCGTCTCTCCCTCGGCAGAGCACTGGCTGGGATAACACACCTGCCGGCAGGGAAGGGCGCAGACTCGGAGTCGGGTGGACTTGTAAGTCCTGCAGACAACCAGAAATCCTCCTGTTCTTCAGCAAACATCTGCTCCTGAGAAGAACAAACACTGAAACATTGTAGTTATATGCCACAGGGAATGATGTTTCATAAATGTTGGCTTTTAAGGTGGGTCTGGTGGTACAAGCCTGTAATCCAAGCATCTGGGGGGTTGAGTGGGAGGAGTCTGAGTTTGAAGCCAGCCTAGGCTATGTAACGAGACCCTATCAGAACGACGGGAAAGGGAGAGAGGAAAGGAAAGGAGAGAGAGGGAGAGAGAGAGAGACAGGCAGGCAGAGACACAGAGAGAGAAAGGAAAGTTTATTTTTAAAATTCTCTAGATGACATGTCTGTGTGTGCTTTATACGAAGGACTAAAGTCCATGAGACTCTTCTCTCCAGCAAAAAGCCAGAAGTGGACCTGTGGCTCAAGTAGTAGAGTACCAGCAATGAATGAAAAAGCAGTGAGAGAGCATGAGGCCCTCAATTCATTTTGCTCTCCCAGCTTGATGGCTCAGCAGGCCCTCTACCACTTGAGCCATGCCTCCATTCAGGCACCTTTCTGGACAGTTGGGGATGAGAGCCTCTGAACCTCCATCCTTAGATCTCAACCTTCTGAGTCGCTAGGAATACAGATCTGAGCTACCAGTGCTTGACTCCAATTGTTCTTTTAGCACAAGCTTTATCCTTGAACTATAAAGACAAGTCTCTCCACTGAACATTGATTGTCAAGCTGTTACTCTTAAAAAAAAAACATTACTTTTGGTACTAGAGATTGAACTCAGGGACTCTACCATATCCCCAGACATGATTTTTGTTGGTTATTTTGGAGACGGAGTCTAGTCTACTTCTCTGCCCAGGCTGGCCTCAAATCATTATCCTCTAGTTCTCAGCCTCCTGAATAGTTAAGCTTATAAGCACGAGCCACAGGTACCTGGTTAGTTATAACTTTTCCCAATTGACTGGCTGCTCTTCATTCTCCTGGAAAAGGCAGCCTACTTCCCTCTGGCATTAATGCACTAGCTTCCTTAACACTAAGTTCTGCTCGTTAATTAGGTCCCTCCCCGCCACCCCCCCAAGTTACTTGAACAGCAAACTGAATATAATGGATCTTTTGCTATCTTTTCTAATACTTACTTTTCTCTACTGCTGACCACTCCAAAGCAAAACAGTATTTGCTTAAAAGACTGGTAAAAGTATTCTATCAGTAGAAGCCCGAAATGTTTCAAATATAAATTCCCCCCTGTAAATTCCCACCTCAAAAAATGATATGTGCTATCATTTGATATCATATGATATCAAACATGATCTATGACTGTTAAGAGAAAGAGAGAACCATCAACTGAAATACTGGGTTTCTAATTAGGCATGAAACCAAAGGAATGTTAAAGAAGGAAGACTGAGATTCTTCCAACACTCTCCTAGTTAAAGTTTAAACCCAAATAAACAAAATGCTTATCACAGTCCTTCCCAAGTGTTTTTACATAACCTCAGAAATTCACTTTCAATTTTCGCCACAACATATCAGAATTTATCGGCAGCAAACCCAGACTACGCTGCACAACAGCCCAGAAGCGTTCCACAGACAAAGGGCTGTGGGTGTTTCCAGCACCGCAGGCTCCACAGAGTTTGCAATTCGGTCATAAATCTCCTCAAAGGCGGAAACTTTGTACGTAAGGTCTCAGACTAAGAGCAATTCATTTATTAAAAAAAAAAAAAAAAAAAAATTGAAAACCTCAGCCAAATGAAAACCCTTCCTTTCAAAATCTTAAGAAACTATTTTGAAAGACATTCTGTGACATTTTCTAATTCTCTACTAGTCTCCTAGTTTCCTATTCAACTAAAAGTCTACAGGAAATAAGACTTGTAAATCATCAACATTCAATAGTTACAACTTTAGAATGCATTCATGTTTTTGTATGTGTGTGTGCCAATAACGGGCCTTGAACATAGGGTCTCCGTTTCTTGCTTGGCTTTCTTGCTCAAGGCTGGTACTCTACTACTTGTGCCCTACCTCCACTTGCAGCTTTTTTGCTGCTCCAATTATGGAGATGAGTCTTATGGACTTTTCTGGATGGGTTCACTCTGAATTGAGATCCTCAGGTTTCAGCCTCCTAATTAGCTAAAATTACAGTAAGAGCCCCAGCGCCTGACTAGAACAATTAGTTATTAATGCTCATACTGTGATAAATAATTCTAAGGACATTAAGTTTATACTTTTTAATTATGCAAACAGAAAGAAACTAGAAATCCTAAAATCCAAAGGAATTCGTAAGACATTCTTGATTGAGTTTGTTGGTCTATTTTAAATTTTGGAGAAGTTTATATCCTTATTGATTGCCTTAAGTATCTTAAAGCTAGTTTCCTGGCAATTAACTGGAGATACGTCTCATGGACTTTCCTGCCTGGCTGGCTTCGAACTGCGATCCTCAGATCTCAGACTCCTAAGTAGCTAGGATTATAGGTGTGAGCCACCAGCACCCAGCTTGTCCTAGTGATTTCTGGTTGCAGCTTAGCAATTTAGCACATAGTAAGTAAAGCAGAAATACTAAGAAATGTTTGCTCTAACAGTTCTACTTCTTTGACAATACAAGATGAATTTAAGTAAGCATGGTTGGAAACAAGAGGCCTAATGAAGTTTGATAACTCAAATTGATCTTGAACTGCAGCTCAAAATGATACAACTTGCTTTCCTGATTTAAATAGTTCTTGTTAACTTTTTTTTTAATGATCTTTAAGTCGTTGTACAAAAGGGTTTCAATTCAATGTGTCAGTTTATGAGTACAATGCATCTTGATCAATGCTACCCCTTCTGATGACTTTTTTTATTTTTTATTTTTATTTTTTTTGCCAGTCATGGGGTGCTGTCCCTCAGCTCTTCAGCTCAAAGCTAGCACTCTACCACTTGAGCCTCAGTGCCACTTCCGGTTTTCTGGTGGTTTATTGGAGATAAGAGTCTCACGGACTTTCTTGCTCAGGCTGGCTTTGAACCATGATCCTCAGATCTCAGCCTCCTGAATAGCTAGGATTACAGGTGTGAGCCACTAGTGCCGAGTGGATTTTTTTTTTTAAAGGATTGAAAAACAAGGTAGCTGGGAGGTGCTATGATAGCTGATTGGCTCAAGCGAGAAAGCCGGGAGCTGTGGGCTCATCTTTTAGTGACAACTCTCCCTTATCAGCAGCAGCTTGTGACTTTAAATGCTGTTCCTTCACCAGCAAAACGGCAAAGGAAGCACCAGCTCAAGGGTTTGTGTTGCGTACCAAATGAGACCATGCTTACCAAGCACTCAATAATTTTTTTTTCTCTTTTATTTTTTTGGTCCGTTGTAGGGCTTGAACTCTGGGCCTGGGAGCTATCCCCAAGCTCTTTAGCTCAAAGCTAGGGCTCTACCACTTGAGCCACAGTGCCACTTCCGATTTTCTGGTGGTTAATTGGAGATAAGGGTCTCACAGATGCTCCTGCCTGGGGTGGCTTTGAACTGTGATCCTCAGATCTCAGCCTCCTGGGTAGCTAGGATTACAGGTGTGAGCCACTGTGTCTGGCTATTTTTCTTTTTGAAGACAGTGTCTTGCTGTGCAGGCCCAGGCTGGCCCTGAACTCTCAATACTCCCACCTCTGCCTCCCACGTGATGGGACGGCAGGGGTATTGCCCCACATCTGTCTTAACAGATGTTCCTGATCATGAGGATGCCACCGCTAATGCGCCAATGGTGTTGACCCCTCTATCCTGCAAACGCCCTAGGCCCCGCTTCAAAGCGCCAGACTTGGAAACACAGCTGGCTGTGCCCTGGAACCTCAAACCTGTTCAAAAGTGAGCTTCGCCCCATCTCAGGCAACAAACACCCTCTTCCTCTAGCCTGACACCTGACCTAAGCCAGGGATGGCCGCCAGCCCTTCCTCGCCTTCCACCCACAAGCAGTCCAAGTCCTACTGCACCTGTCGCTCCCAAGTGCAGACCCACTTCTCCCTCCAGTCCCCTGCCCACCTCACTTCAGTCCACGGCATCTGCCTTGACTTTGCTCAACGCCTGCTTACGAAGACAGCTTGCTTACGAACACAGCGAGCATTTAGTTATTTATTTTTCAAGATACAGCAGACAGTAGTTAGCACAGAAATATTTGTCTAACTAAAGGGCATAACTGGGCTTTCTATACCTCTCCATCCCTTCACCGCCACAGTCTGAGCGCCCGCAGTCTAAGCAGAACCACGATTTCTTTAAAAACCACCTCTGTACTATAGAAATCCTTACACTTTCAGCTAACAAGAAATGGATAGCAAATATATTAGTTTTCTAGCAGCATGGTTTATTTTTTCTGGTGCTTACAATAACCTGAGTACATTTAAAATTCGATGGCTTAAGGGCTAGGAAGGTGGCTCAGTGGTAGAGTGCTTGCCTTGTGTGCATGAGGCCCTGGGTTCAATTCCTCAGCACCACATAAGCAAAAAAAGAAAAAAGCTGGAAGTGGCGCTGTGGCTCAAGTGGTAGAGCGCTAGCCTTGAGCTGAAGAGCTGAGGGACAGTGCCAGGCCCAGAGTTCAGGCCCCACGACCAGACAAAAATAAATAAATAAATTAAATTAAATAAAATTTGATGGCTTACAGTAAAACATTACAGGGTATGCCAAGTTCTTAAGAAAGAATTTTAAAGTAATACTCTTTCTTCTTAGTAGGAAATTAAATTTATGCTGCTCTTAAAACTTGGATGATGAGCTGGGTGCTGGTGGCTCACACCTATAATCCTAGCTACTAGGAGGCTGAGATCTGAGGATTGAGGTTCAAAGCCAGCCCAGGTAGGAAAATCCGTGAGACTCTTATCTCCAATAAACCACTCAGAAAACCGGAAGTGGCACTGTGGCTCAAGTGGTAGAGTCCTAGCCTTGAGCTGAAGAGCTGAGGGACAGCGCCCAGGCCCAGAGTTCAAGCCCCATGACCAACAAAAAACAAAAACAAAAACAAACTTGGATGATGAACTATTGAGTATTTTTGGTCCTGTATCACATGACATTGTAATGTCCTATGCTATCGTTTAATCACTAATGTATTATTTCATTTGTAGTTCTGGGTTCCCGTCACAGATACAGCCATCATGACAGTGAATTACATATTTAGATAAAATATGACCTATATATTATGTGAACATAAATATATGTGCGCACATCATGCATGTGATAGTTTTACACACACACACACCCTCCAGAATAACACACACATCCTTACCTCCTTCGAGAAAGTGAAGACACTGATGTATTCGTAATGTCAGGCTCCCATTCATCTTCAGGATCGCAAAACACATCATCACCCCTGCTAGCACCATTACTCTAAAGAAAGGAAACAGTTTCCATTGTTATCAGTGAGAAAAAAAGTTTAGCAATTACAAGAAAAAGCTTAACTCTGTTGCTACGTTCAAACATAAAATTAGCAAAATTACAGAACATCAAATTAAAAAAATCACAATCCTGATAAAATTTAAAAAATAATCAGTGTTCAGGATTACATACTTCAAAAAGGATAAACTTGGTTTAAAGCTAATAAGAATAATAACTTAGGGCTGGAACGGTGGCTCAGTGGTAGAGTGCTTGCCTTGCATGCAGGAGGCCCTGGGTTCGATTCCTCAGCAACACATAAGCAGAAAAAAAAAAGCCGGAAGTGGTGCTGTGGCTCAAGTAGTAGAGTGCTAGCCTTGAGCTGAAGAGCTGAGGGACAGAGCCCAGGCCCAAAGTTCAGGCTCACGAATGGACCCCCCCCACAAAAAAAAAAAAGAATAATAACTTAGAAGAGACAGGGAAAATAAAAATAAAAGACTAATCTGACAAAGTGAAGATGGAAACGTGGGCTAAGGTGGGACTCAGTGGCAGAGCATGCGCCTCATAACTGTGAGACTGTGGGTTTGAGCCCTGGGATCTCAGAAAAAGAAAAGGTGCTGGGCACCAGTGGCTCGCGCCTGTAATCCTAACTCCTCAGAAGGCTGAGATTTGAGGATTACGGTTTGAAGCCAGTCTGGACAGGAAACTCCATGAGACTCTTATCTCCAATAAACTACTCAAAAAAGCTGGAAGGGGTGCTGTGGCTCAAGTGGTGGAGCGCTCACCTTGAGCAAAAGCTCAAAGAAGAGACAAAACTGAGGCCCAGAGTTCAAGCCCCAGGACTGGCAAAAACATACAAATAAAAATTAAAAGAGAAAGAAAGCTAAGCTAAGCTCCAGTGCCATAGTCCTAGCTACTTAGGCCGAGACCCAAGGGTCACAGTTCAAAGCTAACACAGACAGGGAAACCCATGACTCTTATCTCTAATTAACAACCAAAAAAGCTGGAGGAAGAGTTGTGGCTCAAGTGGTAGAGTGCTAGCCATGAACTTAAAAGCTTAAGGACAATGACCAGGCACTAAATTTAAATCCTAGGACCTACCCCCCTCCCACCTACCCCCCAGCCACACAGAAACTAAAGAAAAGGCACAAAAATAACTTCACATATAACTTATTAAGACCAATAGGACTGGGCCCTGGTGACTCATGTTTGTAATCCTAGCTACTTGGCAAGCCAAGAGATGAAGTATCTTGATTCTAGGCCAGCCTAAAAAATAAACAGCTAAAAACAGGACTGGAGGCCTGGCTCAAATGGAAGTGCACCTGACTAGCAAGCACAAGGCACAAACTCCAGTACCACAAAATAATCAATAAACTTTCTTATAAGTAAATATATATATATATATATATATATACATAAAATGGTTAAAATTGTCTTGAATAATTAATTGCCTTTTATTTTTGAAAGTTTTCTTTACTAAGATACAACGCCTTATATTTTTTCAGCAGTCTAGAAAGACTTCAGTAATTCTGCACACCTCATAAAGTTCTTTCATGGCTGCAAGTTTAGATTCAAACTTTTCCACACTCCATACAGTTGAGATCCCAAGCCGCAGGTCACGAACCCGAACAGAAGTGTCAGAACGCCCCTTATCAGATGCATCGTGTCTGAGAGAAAAATCAAACAGAAGCATTTTCCCTATGATGCACCCACCAGCTCGCACCGACAGCTGCCTGAAGAAGCGTGACTTCCATAAAACCTCAGTGTGCTTCTTACATCACCCCACTGCTAAGCACTCATACTGTAGTAACAAGCAGGTCCAGTTATACTATACAAAAGCACCTTCATGTCAAAAATAATTTCACAGGTAATTTTTTTCAATTTTTAAAAAGGATATTATTCCTTTAAAAAAGTGCAGTGCCAGGCACCAGTGACTCATGCCCTAATCCTAGCTATTCAGGTGGCTGAGATCTGAGGATCATGGTTCAAAGCCAGCCTGGGCAGGAAAGTCTGTGAGACTGCGAGTATGCAGGGCTGGAGATGGAACTCAGTCGTTGGAGTGCTTGCCTAATGTGTGCAAGGACCTGGATACAATCCCTTGCACTATACAAAAGCAAAAAAGTAAACTAACTAAAGAAGCACATGATTGTAATCCCAATATTCAGGAGACTGAATATTAGGTACATACCCCCTTCCTTCCCCAGCCCCATACACACTCATTAGTAAATCCCTGAAACATCTCCACTAATTCTTTTTATAAATGCACTTAGGATATTATAAATGCACTTAGGAGGCTGCGGCCTCCCCATTCCCTGGCTAAACTTCCAAGTGTCAGTAGTGATTCACGTAGCAATTTTTTTCCTAGCTGGCACGGTGGATAGACTTCAAAGAAATTAAAAAAACAAAAACTGACACACAACAACAAATCAATACAGGCAACTCATTTTAAAACAACTGCTTTAAAATCAAGATTATCATGAAGCACTCACCTGCCAAAAGCATAATGTTTTTTTAATTTGCTGCTGATAGTGTTGGCCTCCTGAATCATCACAGAGAGTTTCAGGGAGCTCCAGTTGGGCTGAACTAACACAAAGGCACAGAGAGGATTTAAGCACACTGTGAGTGGACACGCAGAAGACACTGGCTGCAAACAAGTGGTTCTAACCAACACGCAGGCTGAGAATGATGAAGGCTGAGCAGTTTCCCTTCAGAGCTCACTGGGACAAGAAAACCCCACAGCCAGTGAGTGTGGCATACAATCCTCCCACTCAGAAGGCAGAGACAGGAGATCATGAGTTCAATACCAGGCTCGGCTTTACTGTGAGAACCTGTCTCAAAAGCAAGCAACCAAACAAAAACCAATGCGGTGAAGAGATGGAAGAAAACCTTTGACTAAAAAAAAAGTTTTAATATAAGTTGGGCACCAGTGGCTCACACCTGTAATCCTAGCTACTCAGGAGGCTGAGATCTGAGGATCACAGTTCAAAGCATGCCCAGGTAAGAAAGTCTGTGAGACTTTTACCTCCAATTAACCGCCAAAAAAGCTGGAGGTAGAGCTGTGGCTCAAAGTGGTAGAGCACTAGCCTTGAGCAAAAAAGCTCGGGGACAATGGACAAAAAAACAACAAAAAATACCTAAAAGAAAAGCTTTAGTATAACAAGGAACCACAAAAGACAATGTTTTTTTCAGATAGTATCCAAGATTTTTCTTCTGACTTCTATTTAATTTTTCTAATTTCTTTTAAAGTATCAAGGTTAAGTATATGATAGTCTTACTCATATAGAAACATAATCCTTTTTAACTTTTCCAGAAAATATTCTGTGGCACCAAAAAATAAAATAGGGTCAGGCACGGTATATTTCTTGCTACTCAGGAGGGTGAGATCTGAGGACAGTGGTTTGAAGCCAGTGTGGGCAGACTATCTCCAATTAACCAGCAAAAGGCTGGAGGTAGAGGTGTTACTTAAATGATGAGCATCAGCCTTGGGAGGAAAAAACCAAGAGCTGAAGCGCTGAGTTCAAGCCCCAGTAGCAGCACAAAATAATAACAAAAGAAAATAAACAGGAAAACAATTTTGTCTAAAATTTCATTTTCCTAATTAGTAACGCACTAGTTGTACAAATCAGTGAGCTGCGCCATGATTTTCCATATGTGCAAACATCCTAGACATCCTTTATTCTTGGTCCTTCTTTCTCCCAGCCCCATCACCTTTTCCAGGCCTTAAATATCCTGAGGAATTTCTCTGCTCCCTTCCCCCATCCCTTCTGTCTCCAGTGATGACTATTCCATTCTATACTTTCACAAGGGTGACTTACTGGTTTCCTTAAATGAAATATATTATCATTTTGAGAGACACATTCAATCTATAGATTCTAAAAGTAAACATCCACACACATTTATTTACATACAGAAAAGTCAGCCACACCTAGAATAAAGTATATTTAGTATAGAATGGCAAATGACATTTTAGTGATCATAAGTAAGACAAATGACTTCTAAAAATGTATGCTAAAGCAATCATACTAACCTGCCAACAGTTTATCCCTATTACTCTGATTCTGCTGCAGAATTTGTAGCTCTTTAGCAATTTTTTGCTTCTCAGCTTCTAAAGCTTCCAGTATTTTTGCATGGCGGATGCTGTGGTCTGCTAGGGCCTAATTGATGTTCAATCATTTGTATAGATCCACACACGTGAGGATATGCAGAGAGAAAAGTTACAAAATCAGATTGAGATGATGGATTTGCTAATTTGCTTTTCCTATTTACATATTTCCCATGAAACCATGCTGTGTATCTTACATGTATACATAAAGAAAAATTTAAAAACTGATTAGTAACAGTCTCACTACAACTAAACGTCATTTTAACGTGCTCATTTCATTAGCTAGACATGGTAAACATATCCTATTAAACATAAATTGGCTATTGGCTTCTTTCTTTCTTTCTTTCGTTCTTTCTTTTCTTTCATGCCAGTACAGGGCTTAAACTCAGGGTCTGGATGTTTGTTGTCCCTGAGCTGTTCTTGGTTAGCACTTTACCACAGAGCCACATCTCCATTTTTTTCCCCCAAGTTGATTGGTGATAAAGAATCTCATGAAAGGGCTGGGAAGGTGGCTCAGTGGTAGAGTGCTTGCCTTGCATGCATGAGACCCTGGGTTCGATTCCTTAGCACCACAAAAGCAGAGAAAGCTGAAAGTGGCACTGTGGCTCAAGTGGTAGAGCGCTAGCCTTGAGCTGAAGAGCTGAGGGACAGCGCCCAGGCCCAGAGTTCAGACCGCATGACCAACAACAACAAAAAGACTTTCTTGCCTGGGTTGGCTTTGAATCATGATCCTCAGATCTCAGCCTCCTAAATAGTTAGAATTACAGACATGAGCCACCTGCACCCCGCTAAAATTTCTTACTATGATGTCACAGCCCCCATCCCAACATTTGAAACTTTTGATGGCATAGATTCATCTTTCTTCCCTGTCCTAGGAAGTAAAGACCCTTTAGAAAATGGGGGAGGGAGGAGAGGAACAATCAGCAAAAGAAGGACATTCTCAAGAGTATTTGTTGGCTAAATAAAGTTAGCATAGAGTAAGATCTTAATAAAAGGCAACTGTTGTTATTTAAAAAAAAAAAAAAGCAAATTACACACAAAAACTCCAGCTGGCACAAATGACTCATAGCAGCCCACTAACAGGAACTGTTTTCCGAGCTTTAAGCAGCTCTGTTTTTCTCCTGAAGAAGCTCACTGCAACTCTGTCCTGGAGCTGAGCAGCCAGGCTCTCTGCACTGCATCTGGTACTGAGAGATGCTGAACGAGCTCTGACTGGGGTATCACAGGATCCTGTGAACAGATGCTTGTTGCTCTTCCAGGGCCCACTCAGGCTCACTGCTCTGTGCCCCTGTACACGAGCTGTGCCTTTCTCCAGCTACCTCCGCTGCCTCAGCACCACACTCCCTGCTTACATTATTTATCAGGACCTCTTAAGACACAAGAGGAGAAACCAGAGCAGGACCCCAGTGGCTCAGGCTACTCAGGAAGCTGAGATCTGAGAATAGCCAACCAGGGCAGAACAGGCCATAAGACGTCTATCTCCAATTAACTAGCAAAAAGTTGGTTGGAAGTGGAGGTATGGTTCAAGTGGTAAAACACCAGCCTTGAGTAGAAAAAGCCACGTAGGAGAGCATCCACGCCCTGTGTTCAAGCCCTTATACCACTGTGCACCAGGAGAGAGAGAAAGAGGGGGGGGGAAGCTGGGATGGAGCTAGTTCGATGCGGAGCTCCGTTTCCTAGGCATCTCTGTGCTGCAGGCAGTAAGAGGACACAAGCTTTCACGCAGAAGAGCCACTCGCACCCAGGGACCTAGAGGAGGCTCTTTCCTGTCAAGACTCTACACTTCAAAACGAAAACAAAATCCAGTTCCTCCTCAGAATGCAGCAAGCGAGCCATAAAAGGAAGTTACCTGCTTTGTAGCCAGGGTCTCCATTTCTAGTCGTTTTTTGTTGACGAATATTTTCTGCTCAAGATGCTGCTTCGTCTTTTCTAACTCCTCGATTTTGTGATTAGCCTTTTGGTTATTTATTTCCTGCATTTTCTTCCTCTGAGACTCTTCCCTCTGTAACGAACATTAATAAAAACTAACTCTAGGCCAGAACAGTTTTTCAAAAATAGAACGGCAACAAAGTACCAAAGGCCTTTCCTTTCATCAAAGCAGGAGAAATGACCAATAGAAAAGTCAGCCTGTAGCTCCTCTGCTTCGTTCAGGTTAGCCAATCTAACCAAAAGTAAATGTCACCAGTCACCAGTCATGAATGCTCTAACCTGGGTTTCGGGAAACACAAGACTGCCGGTAGCACCACAGTGGGGCCCGAAGCCTCGCTGCCCAGCTCCTTTTCCCATAGCCTGGCCACCACAACTAGCTTCTCAAGGAGAATTATTGAGGGCTGAGACTCCCTGCAGCTCTAGCTCTAATCGCTGGTACTCCTCCGGTTCCCAGTAAGGACACAATGACCCACCCCAGGGCCCCAGGGGGCTCCGCTCGCTACCAGTTCTGCTTCCAGGGCTTGGATCTTGCTCTCGTACGCAGCTCTTTGAGAGGAAAGCTCTTGCTGAGCCATCTCCTTGGCAATCTGGATTCCTTGCATCATCTCCTCCTTTGCCTTCAGCTGGGCTTCTTTCATTTCTGCCTCAAGTCTACAAAGTAGCAAGAGGTTAATAGGATGCATGGTTAGGAAATCTTCCTATACCAAAGGAATCCTAATCATACTAAAATACTGTCCATCCTAATCATACTAAAATACTGTCCACTGGAAAAAAAATTAAATCTTAAGATAATTTCTGATAAGTTAAATGTGTTCTTTAATCTTCCTTTTATTTTTTCCCCTCTTTCTTTTTGGCAGGTACTTGGGCTTGAACTCAGGGCCTGAGATTTTGTGCTTTTGTGGCTCTACTACTTGAGCCACAGGTCTACTTCTGGCTTTCTGCAGTCCTCAGATGTCAGTCTCCTGAGAAGCTAGGATTACAAGCGTGAGCCACTGGTGCTCAACCAGAATTTTTTGTAAACAAAACACAGGTTAAAAATCTGCTTACTTCTACATTAGTTACTACTGCCTGATATTTAAGTGAAAATATTTTTCTAATGCTGAAAGCAAACAAATTTCATAAAAAAAATATGTCTTAGTAGACATTGAAGCACTTGTAGTTGACATAATAAACCCAAGACTAGGGTACTTTCATTTTAAGCTAACAATGGCCAGACCAACAACTATACTTCAGAAATTAATACTTTTTTGTGTTATATAATAAGGAAAATATTGAAATAACCCTAAAAGCATGTCCTACAAGAGCTGATACAGTAGAAATGAAACCATATTTCAATCATTCATGATAATTCTATATGCCAGAACTGGAGCTTGAACTCAGGGCTTCAGGCTCTTGCTCCATTGAGCCATACCTCCACTTCTGGCTTTTTCTTTGTTAGAGATTAAGAATCTCTCTGCTCAGGTTGGCTTTGAACTGAGGTCATCACTGAGTAGAAAGGATTATAGGCATGGGTCACTGGCAAACAGCTAATTTTATGTTTTGATAACTCAAAGTATTAACTGTCACCTCTCAAGAAAAAAAGAAAAAAGGTCAATAATAGAAAACTAAATAGCTTCTTTCTTCCCAGTAACATTAATCTCTCAGCACTGCAAAAAATAGAAATGGGCATTCTGTCTTACTAAGAAAAGAAAGAACGTCAAAAGAAGGGGAGCTATCGGGGTAGAGGAGCGAGAAGGAGACATGGCTGCTGAGATAGTCTGTGTGGATAATGACAAGTGGACGGCCACAATGGCTCCACGATGTGACGTCACAAAGTGCCGTGAACTGCATGCTTTAAAATGACTACAATGCGAGGTGCCAGGGGCCCACGCCTGTAACTCTAGCTACTCAGGAGGCTGAGATCTCAGGATTATGGTTCAAAGCCAGCCTGGGCAAGAAGGTCTGTAAGACTCTGCTCTCCAATTAACCACCACCACCAAAAAAAAAAAGGTGGAAGTAGAGCTATGACCCAAGTGGTAGAGACTAAATCTTGCGCAAAAAAGCTCAGGAACAGCACTCGGGCACTGAGTACAAGCCCTAGGACCAGCAACAAAAAAAAAATAATAATAATAGGGCTGGGAAAGTGGCTCAGTGGGAGAGTGCTTGCTTTGCAGGCATGAAGCCCTGGGTTTGATTCCTCAACACCACATAAGCAGGAAAAGCCGGAAGTGGTGTTGTGGCTTAAGTGGTAGAGCACTAGCCCTGAGCTGAAGAGCTCAGGGACAGCGCCCAAGCCCAAAGTTCAAGCCCCACGACTGGCAAAAAAAATAAAATAATAATAATAATAGTCTAAAGTGGATCCAGGCATGATAGCTTGCACTTCCAGTACTTGGGAGGCTGAGGAAGGAAGATCATGAGTTTGAGGTCAGCTTGGCTTATAAAGTTAGAGCTTGTCTCCCAAAGGGGGGGGGGGAGGCTATAATGGTATCTTTTTAAAAAAAATTAAGGAGGGAAAAAAGTAGATTTAGGCTTTTTAAAAGGTAAAAAGCACAGTTAAGTCATTCTTGATTCCTCTTCCTTTTGTCTTCTTTAGTCAGAAAGCCTTGTTGATTTTTATCTCCTTCATTCTCTCCTACCCAGCCACACCGCACTCACTTTCTTTACTGGTCTCAACTGATGACACAGCCTGTAATCTAGTTCGAGCTCGAAGCCTTCCCCAAGCGAGGGTGCCAGCACCCTCTCTCACAATGTGAGTGTCTTATGTCTAATTGCCATTCTTTAGTTGTTCTTTAAGAGGCAGCAGCCCACGCTGTTGAGTATTTTAATATGTATACTTCACTATCTCGCTAAGATCTGCTTAAGCAAATGGGCATCCCCCAGCCTGCCTTGGGCTAACTGCTCATTTTTTCTTGAGGCTCTATTCTAGGGACCCCAATAAACCCTTAGTAACCCCCAGTCAGGATGAGGGGTCACGTGTATACCTCCACACCACACAGGAAGGATGTCACTAGTTAGAGCTGTCTGCTCATGAGATGATAAATTCCTCTAGGGCAAGGCTTCTTTGTATACAAACAATTGTTCTTTGTATATCCAGCATTTTGTAGAGTGACAGACACAAAATTGATGCCTAGTAAGAAAGAGGTTCTTAAACAAATGAATGTAGGGACAGGGAAAGCTACATCACAGAAGGTGGTGGTAGCTGCTGGGCCCTCTCTTCTGGAAAGTCCTTCTTGCTCCACATCAACAGTAATACTCACTGAGATCTCTGTGCCAAAAGTAACTCATTTTTGGCAAATTCAAAGTCTTTTGGAGCCTCACTTGCAAGAGTATCTCTACTGGATGGTCTTCTCCCTTTGTGAACTTCGACTGGATGATTAAATCGAAAATAATGATCGCCACCAAGAATTACCCGATCACCCTAAAGCGCACAAAAATATTTGCTATTTGAGGCAGGTCTGAATGAAAACGAACTACAAGGGAAAAAAATCAATTAGCTCAACAACTCAAGATAATCTAGTACTACTAATAATAAACATAAAAATGATAGCAACTCACTTTTGGTAAATACTTTCTCTGTGTATATGCATGGGTGTATGCATGTACAGGACTTGCTGATGAATACCAGGTAACCTCCCCTCCCCGCCCCCCCCCCTCCCCCTCGCCCTGCCCCACCATTGTAGCACCCTGGAACTTACATGATGCAGAACTGTGGGCTGGAGAATGTGTCTTCCATTTACGTAAGTCTTTGCTTCCCCAACGGGGATAACACTCACCGTCCCTTCCAAATTTTTGATTGTACTGTAAAAAAATAAGAAGCACTGGTCACAAGCACAGCATACTCTAAAAGGTAAGAAAAGGACAAAATGGAATAATCCCGTGTGATTCCTGCCTTTGGCGGCGAGGTTTAGATCAACTTATAGCAGCAAAGACTTAAAATTATTATATTTTTCTTCAACTAGACTTAGGAGTTTCCAGAAAAAAAAAAACCTGGCCTTTAGTCAATTCCAACCACTAGTGGTGAGGAAGAATTTTCACTGCATATATTTTGAAAGTAATTCCCAAAAAAAGCCCCTCTGAAAATGAAAATAAAAAAGGAGAAAAAAAATTCAAGGAAAGAGTATTAAAAATGGATAGTTTCCCATAAGTGAACCCGTTTTAACTATTTTACTTGTCTAACTTTCTGGGTTAATAGATGAGTCTTAATAACTTTAACAGGAGTTGGAGAAACTGCTCTGCAGAAATAAGTTGCATTTTTGTCAAGAATTATGAACAAGAATACACACACCAATGTTGTAATTGCAAAAAGTTACAAATAACCCAAATGCCCACCAACAAAGCACCCAGACTGCACTAACACAAGAGCTTCACGGTAGTGAAAACCATCAACACAGAGAAAATTTTAAAATAGTGCAGCCAGGCACCAGTGGCTTATACCTGTAATCCTAGGTACTCAGGACTCTAAGCTCTGAGGCCCAAAGTTCGAAGCCAGCCCAGGCAGGGAAGTCTGAGAGAGATTCTTATTTCCAATTAATCATCAAAAAGCTGGAAGTAGATCTGTGGCTCAAGCACAGTTAGAGCACTTGCCTTGGGCATAAAAGCTAAGCAACAGCACCCAAGCTCTGAGTTCAAGCCCCACAGCCAGTAAACAAACAAAGAACTAACACCCACAACATAGAACCAAAACAATTTATAAACATCACCATTCCAACAGCACAGAGAAACAAGTATCATTCTAATCATGTGACCAAAATTCATATAAAATAAAAAAAATTAATCTGTCACTTCAACCCTAAGTTTTGCTATATTAAAGGGTCAGAATTGCGAGAAAATAAATTACCCTTCAGTCAGATCAGGAATGTCATAGAGAACATTACACCATAGCTTATGCTGAAAGGAACTCATCTGCTGTCTTTATAAAACACTCAAGAATTGTTTCTCAGAACTCCAAGAAATGGAAGCAAGAGCTTTTAGGTTATTTGGCTTTAATTTTTTTTCTCCTTTGTTGCTGTTTTTGCTTTCTGTGCCTTTTGTCTTGTACGTAAGTTAGTCTTGTCCAGGGAGAGCAGGAAGGAGCACAGAGATGGTGGGACAAAGGGTGAAGGAGCGCAGCAGTGATCTCACTAGACACTGAGCTGAAAATGAACTCCACAACTTGTGAGGGAGCGGAGTGGGGGACTAAGAGAAAACGAGGGAAAAGGAGACACTGTTCAAAAAGAAATGTACTCATTACCTGACTTACGCAACTCCAACCCCCTCCGTACATCACCTTTACAATAACAATTTTAAGAGTTTCTAACTAATAAATACTATAAATATTTTTTTTTTAAAGAATTGTTTCTCCTGGCTGGAAGATAGATTTGAAGAAGGACAGCAAAGACTCAGCATACACAGATGGCTATGGAGGAGGCCCCACTTAACAAGACACAGACGCATTCTGGCATGTGTGGGTATGCCTTGGACCCTCAACCCACCAATGATCATCGGCAATCAGGACGCCGGACAGCTGAATGTCGTGGTTGGCGTGCGGTCTGCACTTCCCAACCGTAGTTGTTCCTTCTTTGATCATATACAGCAGCATCTCTGAGAGCTGTGGGTCTTCGTTGAGATTGACGAGGTTTGGCAAATGGTTGTCCATCTGAAATGTAATTCCTGCTTTCTGGTGGAAGTCAGACCAAATTTTGAAAAGGAAAATTAAATCAATCTTGATCCCAGCATGAAATTATTAAATTCACCTTAAATGAATGATTATGATGGAATCTCAATAAATTTCAGGCTTCCTGGGGCCCCACGTAGTGTATGTTTAGCATGTTCAAGGCCCTCCCCCCAAAAAGAAATGAAAGGATTTTTAGACAAAATTAAAGATTTCTTAGACTCCCTCCTTGTGAGTTCTCTGTGACTTTACCATCTTATGCCGTTTATATCGACCTTTCTTCGTCCTTCATCACCCGCCATCCACTCTTACATCAACCCGTCACTCCTGGCTGCATCCATTTTAATTCTCCCTGGTCTTTAGAATGGCAGTTTCTTCAGGCTCCATGTTCAATTTCACCGTCTTACTGCAGGAACTGACTCACGTCAGATGTGCAGTGCCTCCTGGGTCACCTTGCTAGCCCTTTCTTATGTTTCTAACACACCTTACATCCTATACCACATGAATTCTCTCAGAAGGGCACTCAAAACGTCAGCTCCCTGGTCAAGCACTTGCAATGGCTTTCCACCTCCTACTCGATAAAACATGATTTCTCTGGCTTGGAAATCAAGTTCTTAAAGTCATCGTATCTTTCAACTTGTATCTCCTTATGAGTTCATATAACCTGTTCATTCCAACCAAACTGATCCATACACCCTCTTCTGAGAACTCAGCAAACTCTCCTATCTCCGTTCTCATGTGCTTTTCCCCCTCCTACAATGCTTCCTTCTTTCTCTTTACTGAAATCTTACCTGAGCTTCCAAGCCCACCTCTAATCACACCCAGTTCCCCCTTCCTCTGAGGGCTTCCCACACATTCCCACCAGCCAAAGGCTGGGTGTTTGGTTTTGAGACAGGGACTTGCTATGCACTCCTGTCTTCTCTGCTCAAATCCATCTTTCACATATTACCAGAGAAGCCACTGCACACACCTGCTCACGCCATACCCCTCCATGTAAAATGCAAAGGTTCTTCCTGAGTTTTACATCTTTCTCCAGTCTACACTGTTCCAAGTTAATTTCCAACTATCTGAAACTCTTGAATCCTTTCAAGATCCAAGCCCTGCGGTACCTTCCCACTTTTTTTTTTTTTTTTTTTTGTCAGTTGTGGAGCTTGTACTCTGGGCCTGGGAGCTGTCCCTCAGCTCTTCAGCTCAAGGCAAACACTCTACCACTTGAGCCACAGCGCCACTTCTGGTTTTCTGGTTGGTAATTGGAGATAAGAATCTCACGGACTTTCCTGCCCGGACTGGCTTTGAACCTAGATCCTGAGATCTCAGCCTCCTGAGTAGCTAGGCTTACAGGTGTGAGCCACCAGCGCCCAGCTCCTTCCCACTTTTAAACAAGGTGTTACTTCACTTAACAAGGCTTGATTTCATTGGTCTAGCAAATTCCCATTCATTGTACAAAATCCTGCTTAATGTTCTCTCTTTGAAGTCCTCCTTGCTAACAACCCTCCTCAAAGCCAATTATTCCTCCTCTCTCCTGCTTCTCTGCCTTTTACACACTTTTCACTGCAACAGGACAAACCCTATGACACTGCCAGTGTTCAGCTACACTTTACAGAACTGGCAGTTCCATAGGTTCTATCCAATCAGGTGACACTATATTTCAACTTTCTGACTGCCAGCTCTGAGAGTTAGAACACAGATGTTTAGCAAATATGTGGAACCAAAGTGACCAGAGCAAGACATTTAGCTGCTCTAAGTAGCCGGAGTTGATCTTAACAACTCTCTATGTTACCTCTCCTTATGGTACTGCTTTGTACCGTCAGCACCCCAGAAATATTTGAGAAATTAGACTTGCCTATTTGTCTACTTTTTTTATTCATCATCAGTTTAGAAAGTCCAAGTGATACCTGTAACTCTTTTGTTTCTTGAAGTTTTCTTTTCTCAGCCTGTTCAAGCTTTTCTTTCCAAACCCTTTGCAAAACAAAAACAAAAACAACAGAGTTACAGCAACCAGACACATAAGACTGAGACTCTAGAGAGGACCAGGGCAGCCTGGGAAGCTCCACAAGGCAGTCTGAAAGCAGACTGCTCTGCTCACGGGGAGGGTAAGGAGAAAGAGATTCAGTATGCTCTCACCAACATCCCTCCCAGCCTGGGTGCTGGTGGCTCACGCCTGTAATCCTAGCTACTCAGGAGGCTGAGATCTGGGGATTGCAGTTCAAGGCCTACCCAGGCAGAAAAGTCAGTGAGATTCTTACCCCAATTAACCACAAAAAGCCAGAAGTGAAGCTGTGGCTCCAGCCTTGAGCAAAAAAGCAAAGGGACAGTGCTCAGGCCCTGAGCTCAGGCCCTAGGAGCAGCATGAAAGAGTAATCACGAAGGGCCCCCCCCCCATCTCACCACAGCACACTCAGCATCTCACCTCTGCAGTTCTGCCATGTCTCTCTCCTGCTGATGCAGTTTTATCCTCAGAGATGTTATCTCTTGCTGACAGAGCCGGTACCGTTCAGGGTCAATATTCCGATTGTTTCTTTGAGCAGCTTTTAGCTTTTCAATTTCTGCTTTCAATTCTAAGCATTTGTAAAAAGATGCATGCTTAGTGAATATCTGATGTGTGATGATTCTTGACATTGGGCATAATACTCTAACCATTTCATATGGAATTTTAAATATGTCTAAATAAAATTAGACTATTTAGAGAAATCAGCTATATTTTACTGAACATGATCTACAAAGCTCTACCCCACCTTAACCTGAAAAAGCACTCCCATATTAATAAATTCTCCCTTTGTTAACGGGACAATCAAGTGACACACTTCTGAAAGGCAGAGGTATCTGTATGTTAGTCACACTGGGACAAATCAGAATTGTCTTGGGTTAACATCATCCATAAAGACATGTGGAACAAAGATCAAAGACTTGTGAAGCTGGATTTCAGAACTCTTGCTTATTTTGTGTTGTTTGCTAGCTGTGGTGCTGGGGTTTGAACTTGGGACCTTGTGTTTGTGAGGAGACCCTTTACTACACAAGCCATTCCTCCAGCCCCATTTGCTTTAGGTTACTTTTCAGAAAGGTGGTCATATGTTTGCCAGGGGCCTGGTGTGTCTGTGTGTGTGTGTGTGTGGTGTGTGTGTGTGGTGTGTGTGTGTGTGTGCTAGGACTCAAACTCAGAACCTCAGGCTCTCATTTGGCTTTTTTGCTCAAAGTTGGCTATTATTGGAACCACAGCTCTATTTTTTGTTTTGTTTTGTTTTGGGGGGGTTGTTTGTTTGTTTGCTGGTTAATTGGAGATAAAGAGTCTCACAAACTTTCCTGCCTGGCTGGCTTTGAATCAAGAAGGCCTCCTAGATAGCTAGGATTATAGGTGTAAGCCATTTGTGCTGGCTGTAAAGGTTTTGTATGCGTGCTGTTTCCTCTTTACTGCTGCTGTTCTCTATGGCCTTACACTCTTCTCTCACCATTGACTTGTCTTTCTGTCTTGCTGTCCATCTCCCTATCTGCCGCCATCACTATTTAGGACTAGAATCTATCATAATTAGATATGGGGGGAAAATATTTGCTTTCCTTAAGATTGCTCCTTTTAAGGCTAAATTAATATGTAAGTTTAAACTGTGGCAAAATATTTAGGTTTTGAGAAAAAAGCATACCTCTGATGAGCCTGGCATTCACATCTTCATTGACTTTAGCAACATTGACTATCAAGCGTGCCTGGCTAGCATATCTGAGTGTGCTTAAGGTTTCTTCCAGGTTGCTGGATGCAGGGCTGACCGTAGCAATCATAGCAGTTTTTGAATTTCCACCCAGACTTTCTTTAAGGAGCCTTTGAGGGCAGAAAAGTTACAATTAGACTTTATTTCTACAACAAGCTGATTACATTATTGTCTAGAAAGCACAAATTGAACTCTAATAGGGTATATAATAGGGTTTTATTTATATATGTATATATCTGTGTGTGTGTATATATATATATATATATATATATATATATATATATATACATATATAGGCTTAGTACACTAGAGTATTGTTATCTAGTGGAACAGTGGAACACTTAAAATCAGTATAAATGTCCAACGGTAGAAAAAAACTTAGGAACTGTAAATTAATGGGATATTACATAATTTAAAAAAATAGGGTATATAATAAGATATTATATTTGATGTTATATAATAGGATATCATATTTGATATTACAATATCTATTGGGGTTTAAGGGAAAGAGCATGGACAAATGGAAGGGTGGGCAAATGCAGTCATGATACTCAATGTACACATGTGAATAAATATAGCAAGATATTTTATACCCTATTGGTTCAATAATACCATTTTAAATCATTTTGGCACTATAGGTATTTTTAGGTCTCACAACACATTATTTTCTCCTGCCTTCCACATTGTTTAATGCCAGATGATCTGTGCAAAGGCATAAGTCATAGCCAACCATCAAACACTGGGAGGACAGCTCTTCCTTCTTAGATGGCAAGCTACAAAGGGAAGGGATTATGCCTCGGTCTTCATATTTCCAGTGTGGCTGAACACAGCCTCAAATAACAGGTGTGTAAACAAAAAAAATCTATATTGTACTGTGTGCAGAGTTTTATTTTAGGGGGGAAAAAGTATCAGATTTAAAAATACATTTTTATTAGTGAAGAATGAATGTCAGTAGTCCTAACTTTCCAAAGGTATGAAGAACTGCCCTTTTAGCCAGGCGCCGGTGGCTCATGCCTGTAATCCTAGCTACTCACGAGGCTGAGATCTGAGGATCGCCGTTCAAAGCCAGCCCGGGCAAGAAAATCTGTGAAACTCTTATCTCCAATAAACTACCAGAAAACCGGAAGTGGTGCTGTAGCTCAAGTGCTAGAGCGCTCGCCTTGAGCTGAAGAGCTGAGGGACAGCGCCCAGGCCCAGAGTTCAGGCCCCACGACCGACCAAAAAAAAAAAAAAAGAACTGCCTTTCCTTCCAAGTTTCCAGGTGGTAATCACAGTCTAATGAACCAATTCTAAAGATGTGTCATTGTCACATAGGGACGTAGTCCTGGTCACCATGACACTGACGCTCCCAGACTCAAGCTGAGGTTTCACCCTGAGAAGCCCAATGTAAGTTAAAATTAATGTAAGTCAGCTGGGTGCCAGAGGCTCCTGCCTATAATCCCAGCTACTCAGGAGGCTGAGATCTAAGAATCGTTGTTCAAGCCAGCCCAGGCAGGAAAGTCTGTAAGACTCCTATCTCCAATTAATCACAGAAAAAGCCAAAATGGTGCTGCTGCTCAAGTGGTAGAGTGCTAGCCTTGAGCAAAAGGAGCTTAGGGACCACCTAGGCCAAGTTCAAGGACCAGGACCAGCAAAAAATAAAAATAAATAAATAATAATAAGTTAAAAAATATATTGAAAGCCAGGCATTGGTGGCTCATAGCTATAATCCTAGCTACTCAAGAGGCTGAGATCTGAGGATCATGGTTCGAAGCCATCCCTGGCAGAAAAATCCCTGTGATTCTTATCTCCAACTAACCACAGATAATCAATCGGAAGTAGAGCTGTAGCTTAAAGGACGGTACCCAAGCCCTGATTCATGCCCCATGACTCAAAAAAACAAACAAAAAAGTATTGAATGCAACTAGTACAGCAAACACCACAGCTTAGCAGCACAGTGACACTGCTAGAGAACAGAACAGTTTTTTTCTGGACTCTGGTCACGTGACTGGCTGGGGCTCACATGGCTGGCTGGTTGGCTGGGGATCACATGGCTTTGGTGCCATGCTGCTGCCCAGCATCAGAATCTTTTAGAGCACATCACCAGTCCCAGAAAGAAAGAAAAAAAGAAATCAAGTTCTAAAGCACAATCTCTGCATGGTAAAGTAGAAAAATCATAAACCAAACCATTATAAATTGGGGAACATCTCCCGACATTAACACTTCTCAGTGAATATTAAATGTGCCTCTGTAATGGATTAGAAATAAAACCTATATTCACTGATGAAAACACTAAGCATTAGGTACTAGGCATTATGGGGTAGGTACACACAACAACTGAATTTCACTTTATGCACAGCAATGTTTGGTAACACCATCATGTTAGGCACTAATAACAGTTGGACACAACTTGATCTGCACTCATAGACTCTGCATTATGTACTAAGATGCTCACCGCAGAAGGTAGGGGTTGAGACCATTCCCATTAGTGAAGAAACAGGCTGTGCCAGGAAGTGATTGCCCCAAGTCACAGAGCTTACTACCTAGATTCAAATCCTGGTAGTTTTGGAAACGGAGCGGATGCTCAAGTGGTAGAATGCTAACCTTGAGCAAAAAAAGCTAAGGGACAGCACCTAAGCCCTGAGTTCAAGCACCAGTACTAACACCAAAACAAAACCAAACAAAAGCTGGGTTAATTTTCTATCTAGAATCCACATTACTAAAGCACTTCTTTTCTGATTCAAAGTTGCATGAAACCGGTTTTTCCTCACAGCATTCACTGTATTTTATATAATATGTGTGTGCATTTGTGTGTGTCTTACTGGGGACTGAACCCAGGACCTCATGCTTGCTAGGCAAGTGCTCTACCACGTGCACTATGCCTATATTTGATATGGTTCTTTATATTTCAAAAGATACTTGCCATGTAAGAACAGATTCACGGTAGGGAACAAAAACTCTCCTTCGGTTTGCTTGTTCTGAGAGTGCAGATATAACCTTTCCCAAGGTTAGCAAGGACTTGTTAATGCTCACGCCCTCCTGTATGCAAGATTGAAAATCAAAATATTTTTTCTTCTCATTAACAAAGTGATTCAGCAAAACAGGTATCTCCCCATATATAATTACTAAATATGTTCTTCCCTAAAGTACCAACTTTTTACGACTCAAAATTAACTTTCCTTGAAAAGTAATCATAACCAAAAAAGTATGCAGCTCTAAGTTTTCAATGATGTAATCATAAGCTATCAACTATGTAAATATCTGTAATAAATATACATAATGTATATTATATACATAATTATATATGCATAATGTATATTATACAGGTATAGATGTATTGCATATGTGCATGTATATGTATGTAATATATATTATACATATATGTAATTCTGCTTGTGAGTAATGTCTTCATAACTAAATCTCATCAAAATGAGAAAAGAAAGACAGGAACTGGGGCAAACCTGCAGTCTGTTACTTGGGAGGCTAAGGCAGAGGGACTGCTTATAACCCAGATTTATTATTATTATTATTATTATTTTCAGTAGTTGCACAAAGGGATTACCATTCAACATGTCAATTTATGAGTACAATGCATCTTGATCACTGTCATTCCTTCCTTTATTCTCCCCCTTCTCTACCATAGGGACTCCTTAAGTTGCCCTGCTACATTTTCACATTTGCACATTGAGTCTCCTGTCTGCATTCACCCACCCTTCCTCTCTCCATTTGTCCAGACTCTTTCCTTAAACCCCACCCCTCACACAGACATGTTTTGGCTTCCTAGTATTCACTTTGCTGAACTATGGTGAACTGTTCAAAGGAGTTAAGCCACTGGACCCTACCCTTTCTTATACTGTACTTTAGTCAGTTTCACTGTGTATGTATATGTATGTTTGCCCTTGTTTGTGTTTTCATCCTATTCATTATAAGTTAGATCTAACTTTCACATATGAGAGAAAACATGCCATTTGTCTCTCTGAGCCTGAATGAATTCATTACATAATTTTTTCCAGGTCTATCTTGCAAATGATACAATATTATTTCTTCCTGATAGATGAATGAAATTCTATTGTGGGTATACATCACTTTTCCTTGATCATCTGTTGTAGGGCATCTGTGCTGTTTCTGTAACTTGGTTATAGTGAATAGTACAGCAATGAACATAGGTGTGCCAGTGTCTTTACCATACCTGACTTACAATCCCTTGGATAAATGCCCTAGAATTTGAAGCCAGCCTTGGAAACACAGTAAGACCAAGGCTCAAAAGAAAAAGACAGAGAAGAGCGTGTGAGGTACCTTGAGTCGGTCCCCGCTGGTCTGGGCGGTGGAGCAGCGCTCACTACCGGCCAGATCTATTAGGTTTATGCGGCTTGTTATCCTGTGATCATGTTCTTCCCCCTCCACGAATTCAGTCTACAGAAAAAATAATATTAGGAGAATTTAGTCCTCTATGACTTGCTGTCAATGTCTTTAAGAGGGAGACATAGACAAGATTACAAACAATGTCGTTAATTTAAAAGCATCCATTTTTAAATTGCAGTCATTTATAGTACCCAGATATCCACAGGATCTACTAGGAATGTAACAACCAGGGGCTGGATCGTGACAGAATGAAACAGATGAAATGATAGAGATTAAAACTCCACCCTACTCAGTTCTAGTAAGCCAATAACTATAAGTGGAGAAAGGCTTAGTGCACCAGAGTATTGTTGTCTAGCATAACAGGAGAACACTTAAAATCAATACAAATGTCTAACAGTAGAGAAAAATTTAGAAACTGTAAATTAATGGGATATTACACAGTTTAAAAAATTATCTCTGCCTAGAATTTTAATGGCATAAAATTGTTAGAGATTTTCTGAATTTGCTTGTGATGAGACAGAGCACTGAATAGTGGAAACTATGGATGAATCTTAAAGTCTTCTACTATGTAATGTTTTCCCAAATATTGTATAATTACCATATATTACTGCTATTATCATATTGATATGATCTTATCAGTTATATGTTAATTAGTACAAGTGATTAATTTGTATTTGTACTAGTTTTTAAAAATGACAACATATTGCTAAATATAGTTATTCAAAGTAATTTATAATTTCCTGAAATTCATGTATGTCTATATAGTTTTATGACTGTGTTTTAACCTTTAGATTTACCAAAAAAAAAAAAAGAGTTAAACTATAGAAGACATGGCTTCACTATCTTCCCTAGGAAAGTACTTGACAACCACAGTACCTTGGTCTGGGTCATCACCAGGGTAAAAACAGAGTGGGAGCGGGAACTTTTGTCATTCATGCCAGTAGCAGCAGTGGCTCTTTGCTTATTTCCCAGCTCCAGCCAGCTCTAAGGAGAGAAAAAGAAGGTCCCTAACATTCAGAGATGGTAATTCAAAAGAAAAAGAAATTTTTATTATTTTTTTTTTGGGTCCGGTTGTGGGGCCTGAACTCTGGGCCTGAGTGCTGTCCCTCAGCTCTTCAGCTCAAGGCTAGCGCTCTACCACTTGAGCCACAGCGCCACCTCTGGCTTTTTTCTTTTTGTTTATGTGGTGCTGAGGAATCGAACCCAGGGCTCAGGCATGCAAAGCAAGCGCTCTACCACTGAGCTACCTTCCCAGACCCAAGAAAAAGAAATTTTTAAGAAGCAAAGAAGTTAAGGAAGCAGGTTTGTTTCTTATACACATTTGTAACATATACAGTATGTAATTAGCTTAATAATTTACATTCCCATTGACTGTTTTTTGTGTGTTATTATTTGGTCACCTGAATCAGGAAATAACACCCTTAAAAAGCTACTCCTAAAACTCTTAAGGTAACATGATATTCGGTGTTTATTTTCAACTCAGGAGCCATTTTTCTCATATTAGCATATATAAGTTGTACGACTTCATATATTATGTTGATTAAAGTGTTACAAAAGCAGTTCACAAAGCATTAACTGGATTAACCCCTTATGCATGTGAACAGCAAAAAAGAGACAGTCATAGAAATATTCATGAGTATCCTCTATCTAGTTAAAAAAGACAAAATGCAATCAGTCTTACCTGGATATCAGAATAAGAACTGACAACGTTCCTAATGTTTAAGAAGTAAGAAGATAAAATCAATTTCATTATTCTCACAAACCACTTATCTTTCAACATATAAATACTCTGGAGATACCAATGGGCTGATTCATAGACATTTCTATACTTTACTTTTTTTCTTTTGGTGATGGTACTGAGGCTTGCTCTCAACTTTGTGTTTGCTAGGCATTCTACCCCTTGAGTCATACTCCCATGCTTCATTTTCGCTATTCTTAAAGGGCAGGAAATGAGATAATACTTGTACTTTATCAAAAAATATTACTTTTGAAAATCATGCACCTGCCAGACACTGGTGGCTCACGCCTGTAATCCTAGCTACTCGGGAGGGTGAGATCTGAGGATTACGGTTCAAACCAGCCTGAGCAGAAAAGTCTGTGAGCCACCAGAAAACTGGAAGTGGTGCTGTGGCTCAAGTGGTAGAGCTGCTAGCCTTGAGCTGAAGAGCTGAGGGACAGCGCCCAGGCCTAGAGTTCAAATCCCACAACAGACAAAAAAAGAAAAAAAAAGAAAATCAAGCACTTTAGTATCTTAACATTATAATACTCAAATATAAATCATACCACCGAAGGTTTGATTCTAAGACTTATACACAGGTATATGCATGTGTAGCGAAGGTATGTAGAGGTCCTGGCTGAGATCTGAGAATCACAATTCAAATCCAGCCCAGGCAGGAAAGTTCATGAGACTCGCATCTCCAATTACCACCAAAGAAGCCAGAAGTGGAGCTGTGGCTCAAGTGGTAGAGTGTTAGCCTTGAGCACAAAAACTCAGGCTCGAAGTTCAAGTCCCAGGACTGGCACATACACACATACACACAAAAACAAACAAACAAAAAAAAAAGCCAAAGCAAACAACAAGAAAATAAAACAAAAGCCTCCAGTGGCTCATGCCTGTAAAGCTAGCTACTCAGGAGGCTGACATCTGAGGATTAAGGTTCAAAGCCAGCCAGGCAGACAAATCTAAGAGACTCTTATGTCCAGTTAACCAGCAAAAAAGCCTGAAGATGGAGGTATGGCTCAAGTGGTAGAGCATCAGCTTGATTAAAAGGCGAGGCCAAGAATGTGAAGACCTGAGTTCAAGCTCAATACCAGCAAAAAAAAAAAAGCATCTCAACACCTTCCCTTCTTCGCTTTTCAGCTTAAAGGAATAGGTATAAAAATCAGGTTTGAAGGAAGGTTTCAACTTAATGGGGAAAGAAAAGGTAAAAATAGGAGAAAAAGCAAATATTTTATTTCACACTCAGTTTAATCAATATGCTAAACCAGATGCTATGAAAAAAATACAAATATAAAAATGAACAGCTAACTGCACCCTGGTTGGAAAGAGCTAAAGCGGTCATCACTCCGGTCTCTCCCAATACACAGTGGTCTCCTCCCCTCGCTCTGCCTGTCCACAGTGGTCTCCTCCCCTCGCTCTCTCCCTGTCCACAGTGGTCTTTCCCCCAGGCTCCTGCTAAGCCAGACACTTACATGGTCAATCCCTCAACATATGGTCCAGACACAGGATGCTCCCTCACCCGCAGCTGGAAGAGGCAAATATGAGTTTGACACATACTTCAGCTGATGCAATCTTAAATGATCACTTTTTCTACATTTTGAGTTAACTATGTGTCTTGACCCAGAAATAAATACAAAGAACCACAAAAGCAAATCTGTATGTTACAAAGAAACTGCTTTACGACTCAAATTATTGATATACGCACAATATACAACAACCTATGTCACATCACTGTGTTACTAATTTTTACTTTTAACTTAAGTCCTACTGTACCTATTTGTTTATGTGCTTTTAAAGTTCTCTAAAATACATTGACTAACTTTCAGACATTTATTTTTTCTTCCTTTTTACACTGGCATTTTAAGTTTTGTGAGCAGAAATTTTTAAACATTATCAAAGTCATAAAAGACAATGTTATTTGAGTTTCTTGATTTTTGTCACGGTAAACTGCATGAGCTTGGGCAAAGGAAGTCACTTTATACAGTCATGTATTGTGCTGCAAATTTCCTTTGCAAAATTAAAACCTTTCCCTTATAAAAAGCTGAAAGGTTTTAAAACACTGAAAATCTATTTCTCAGACTATCTACAGCATATCAAATAAACAATCCACTGAAATACATTATTCGCCAATAAAAATACAAAGTTTGAAAAAATTTCACTACCTTTTGGCTGATAGACTATGAGTCTGTTTAATTTATATGAGCCAAAACAACACTTTAACATTTAACAACATTTTAATCCCTAACTTTTACACAATACTTGAGTGATTAGTTTTCCACCATCGATAATGTTCAGTTTATTTTCAATACCAATTAAGACTGGCAATCTTAAGCACTTGCTATCAATAAAAGCATTTTAGTAAAAACTTAAGCCAAGGTATCCAGAACTCACATAATTATAAACCTTTATAAAAACAAAAAAGAAAAGCAAATATGAATTATTTAAAACTTACTGGTTGCTTTCTCTGCCCATTATCACCTTTACAAACCAGAAGGTCGTGAATTTTTTCATTATATACTTCAAAGAAGCTCATTTCAAGGTGATAGCTGATCTAGCAGAAATTGAAACAAGACGTTATATTTACTTTCAAATTCTTGGAATGGCTTATAAGTCACATATCTGACATGAGTCTAGTATCCAAATTATATAAACTCTTGTTGGGCAGCGGTGGCTCACACCCATAATCCTAGCTACTTAGGAGACTGAGATCAGAAGATCGAGGTTCAAGGCCAGCCTGATAAAAAAGTTTAGGAGACTCTGTCTCCAAAATAACCATCAAAAAAGAGGCAAACTGAGCAAGCTGTGAGGCTCTGAGTTCAAACCCAGGTATTGGCACAATTTTTCTTTTTTGTTTTGCCAGTCCTGGGGCTTAAACTCAGGATCTGGGCGTTGTTACTGAGCATCTTCGTTGCTGAGCCACAGTGCCATTTCCAGCTTTTCCTGAGTAGTTTATTAGGGCCCAAGAGTTTCATGGGTTTTTCTGCTGGACTGTCTTCAAACTGTGATCCTCAGATCTCAGCCTCCTGAGTAGATAGGATTACAGGTGCGAGCCACCAGGACCTGGCTTCTTCTAGATCTTATAACAGGTGATAATTTAGCAGTTACAACTCTGATTTGGATTTGAGCATACCTCTTGGGTTTGTTTTTTGGCTACTTGAGCAAAAAGATCTTCACAAAATCTTGGAATTATTCCTAGTTCTTCACTAAATCCCATCATCCTGAAAATACATTATAAATAAGAAGAAAGTAACACAGATTAGGGATTTTTAAAAAATTATTTTGGGGAAAATGAGTTCGTTTCAGGGGTTTTTGTTGTTGTTGTTTTTCTTTTTTTTTTTTGCCAGTCGTGTGGCCTGGGTGCTGTCCCTCAGCTCTTCAGCTCAAGGCTAGCGCTCTACCACTTGAACCACAGGATCACTTCCCATTTTCTGGTGGTTTATTGGAGATAAGAGTCACAGATGTTCCTGCCCAGGCTGGTTTTGAACCTCGATGTCTCAGCCTCCTGAGTGAGTCACCCGGCAGTTTGGGACCTTTTTTTGGGGAAATGGGTTAGATAGGGACCATGGGATAAGCTAACTACTTAAAAGTTCACCTTTAATAGTTAAGCATCAGATTGGCCCAGACCTAAGTAAGACGTGACTCTAACCTATTATTAATTCAGTGACCCGAACAAGACACCTGACCTCACTAAATCTCAACTACCTCATCTGCAGTGTGGGACAAGAAGCCTCTATTCAGAGGGCTGTGACAGAACACAGCAAAGCCTCTAGCATAGTATGCAAAGACCTCAAGGAAGGCTAGTTCCTGTGCACATTCAGCCTGCTTCCCTCTACCACAGTTCCACTCGCCTTGGTGTCGCTTGTAGTATTTGTAATTGGCACTTGGTAATGGAGCACATTTATGGTGTACAGTCGGACCCTTCTGTACTTATACATAACGTGCCACGGCACCACACAAGGCAAGCAGCACCTCACACAGGTGAGAAAAGCGTTTTCTGTCTAAGTAATTTGCTTTCTTTTTGTTAATCTGGAGAGAATCCTTTTTCTGAAGAGGTCCTGCTTTGGCTAGGTGGTTTGGCCCTTGTTAATTACATTTAGTTACAGCCTTTTCCAGAGTACTTTAAGACATCCTGTTTCAAGCTCCTTGAATTTTAGTTACATCCTGTTAATTATGCCACATGCCTTTACAAATTGTGAACCTGAGCTCAGCCAATGTGACCAGAGGGGCGGGGCCTGCTGGGTTAAGGGTAAAAAGGAGCAGCCTGAGAGTCTGTGTGCTTGGTTGCCACATTGTTGGCTGGTGGCACACCCTTCTGCAGGAAGTGGACTTTCCTTTTGAGTTGTTGTCCTTATTCTTATGTAACACCCCTACATCCCGAGCTATTTCTAGCACACATTATCATTCCTCTGAATTGGAAACAGTCCAGGGCCTCTCTGTTGGTTGTTTTGAAACTCACAGTTCACCATCATCAAACATAGTTCTCTTACGATGCCACAGATGGCTTACTTTTTAAAAATTTGCTTTAAAATATTTTAGTGGATTTTTGAAAAAGGAAATCAAGTACTTTTATAAGGCAAAGTACATATAAGGAAGTGACAGATATCTAAGTGTCCCTAAGTTTGGTTTTGGTGGTTGTTGTTGTTGTTATAAAGGTAGTATCAGAGGGATTTATATCAAGGGATTTACTTAAGTCAGGTAAAGAGTACATTTCTTTTTGAACACTGTAACCCTGTCACTCCTTAGTTTCCCCCCACATGCCACCCTTTTCCCCACTCACAAGTTCCAAAGCTTTTTTGGTAAGGTTTTACCCAGTAAACTGCTCACAGATTCTAACAAAGGAAAGATGTAAGTTACTAGATCTACCCAACATTTAAGACGCCTTACTGTTAATCATCCCAATAGTATTTATAAGACACCCTCTCTGGGCTTTATTTATACAAAGAATACCAATTGTAGTAAAGTGGAGCCAAAGATACAAGTTATTTCTGGGATAAACTGAAGTGCAGAGGTTCAGTGGCACCCAAGTTTGCAGAGCTGTGAGAAGAATGGGTGAGCCCTGCATCCCGATCTGAGTGGTTTCATACCTATGTTCTTTCTATCCAGCACGCTGGGTGGCCGTGTGTGCGACACAACTTACGTATAGGATTTTCCAGAGCCAGTCTGACCATATGCAAAGAGGCAGGCATTGAAGCCTTCGAAGGCTCGCTCCAGGAGAGGTGCTGCTAGCCTCTCATAGACAGCTGTCTGGCTGGCATAGTGAGGGTGCTGGTCATCAAAAGACCAGAAGGAAACATCGTAAGTAAACGTGTAGACTCGTCTCAAGTCAGGGTGTTCCACAGTGACTTCTTCTCCGTTCATGAAGACTACCTGGAACGCCTTCTCCGTCTGCTCTCTTTGAAAAGAAGGGCAAAGGAAAAAGCCAAGTTACCGTGTGCGATCTATTCCCATAGAATGAGTTAAATTCATCATTCCTCTAAGGTGAGAGAACTGTGGACTTTAATATGGAAAATTAGAGAACTTAACTCAAGTTGGTTTCCAAAATACAAATTCTATAAGATTCAGTGCTAATATCCTGAGAAAATGGAATTTACATTTTTTTTGTAGAGAAATTTAGCTTACTTTTACAAATCGTTTCCCCTTTTCCATTTTCTTAACTACACTTTGTTCCACGCCACTGACCAGAATTGACCTCTATGCTTCAGTACAAATCTGCAAACCTCTTTGTGTAATGAGGAAATTTGGGGGCTGCAAATCTACATAAAGCTGGCCTAAAATAGAAATGAGTTTCAACAAGCTGAATGTAGTAAGTTTAAATGCTAAGTCTCTTTGGGCTACTGGCTGTCATCGTTAACCCATTAGACCTTCCTCCACTAAATTTTCTTCCTTAAAAAAAAAATTCACGTCAAATTCACTTTTAATTTTTTGTATTTTAAGTTTTCAAAGTTCTTTAAAAGCCAGGCACTAGTGACTCACACTTGTCATCCTAGCCACTCAAGAGGCTGAGATGTGATGATCAAGGTTTAAACCAGACTGGACAGACAAATCTAAGAGACTCTTTTCTCCAAATAACTAGACAAATCGGAGACTATTTCCAAATAACTAGCTGGAAATGGAGGCATGGCACAAGTAGGGGGGAAAAAAGCCAGTTTTAAGCAGAAAAGCTGCGCCAGAGCAACACGCTCTGAGCTCAAGCTCCAGTACTGGCACAAAATAATTAGCTAATTAATCAAATGCAAAACGGTACCTTTTGCTGAGAGGCCTCACTCGGACAGCCACGGTCACCTGACTGTTCTCGACTTTGAAGGGGTCTGTTTTAGTGGAGCTGTTGTTCACAACTGAAGTTGTGCCTTCAGGAAGGAGTGTATTTTCTTGGGACATGTCCCTTTTATTTGCAAGAAGAGAACTTTGCAACCTTTGAAGACTGGGCCCCCTGCTTTTCACCATGGATGCACCTGGGCTTTCCGGCGGAGGCAGGCCGCGCTTCGGTGTGGATTTGTGCTCTGGTATACATGGCACTGGGGGTCTTTTCTCCAGGCTTCCAAGTGTGTTCGAATGGTTGGCAACGACATTTCCAGTACTCCCATGTTGCACGCTTCCTGCTTTGCTCTGGAGAGGTTTCCCAGCCGAGTGTCCCCTGGTTTGACCCTGGGAATGGGTAGGTACACTTCTGCTTGAGGACTTCAGTGCAGCGTTTTCATTTGTTCCCCCAGGGGTAGAAAACATTTCTTTGCGTTTCTCATCAGCGGCATTGGAGTCTTTGGTGAAACTTGCAGAGGAGGTGACAGAAGGGTTTCTATTACTACTTAGAACCTTTGCGTTTGTCCCAGTTTCCTGCGACAGGCCTGCCTCGCCAGCTACCTTCTGCGTTCCCCTCCACCTCTCCACACAATCTGTTCTAGCACCCCGACGTTGCAACGTAAGACTGGTGTCTGCTGCAGGTCCAATTGTGTCCCCCAACTCACTCCCAAGTAAAGTTGACTCTTTGTTCCTCGTAGCTCTTCTCTGAAGGGTCAGTCTCCCCACAGGGTTGGGGGAAAGGGGCAGATCTCCAGATCTGTTACAGGCAGAAATAACATAAGTGCTGTTTATGTCTCTGATTTTACTCGCAGGTGTCTGTAATGGGTCATGGTTTTCGCACTGTGAGGTGTCAGGCTTGGGAAGCAGCTTCGGGCGGCTGCTGGCGCTGAGAGCACTCAAGGAAGAGCATTTCTGGGAAGGAGGCACTTTCAGGAGGGTACTAGCATTTCTACCAGCAGTAGTCTGGACTGACATCTTGGCAAGTGCTCTTTAAAAGAATGTGAAGAATCTAAACCCTTCTTTGGATGTTCATTTGATTTCTGGACACTTTGTTCTTGAAAATATCTAGTAAAGAAACACACACACACAAAGTAGATTGCATAAACTTTCAGGGAGGATCTCCCATTGAGAAAGTAAATTCCAAGAGGCACTCATTAGAATCAGTCACAATCTGTATCTCAGCTACTGCTTCAAAACTGCCCAGACACATCTTCAAGTCACCAGTCAACAAATATTTCCTGCCAAGATCTCTGATAAGATACCATAGACCTTTCCTTAGTCTTAGAGAGGAAAACACAGATTACCTTTGTATTAGGGCAAATATGCCCTAATCTCAGAACTTGGGTGGGGGATGGGTAGGAAGAATCTCAAGTTCAAGGCCAGCCTGGACAACAAAGCACAACTTGCCTCAAAACAAAACAGTAATAAGTGTTAAAACTGTGTCAACAGTTTGTTGTTGTTTGTTCATAGTTTTGTGGTACTGAGGTTTAAATTCATGACCCTGTACTTACTCTACCCCTTGTGCCACCGTTCAGATATTTCTGTTGTTTTTTTCAGAGAGGGTCTTGAGCTTTTTGTCCAAGGTATGCCTTGGACTGCCATCCTCCTACCTACTCCTCCCTCTTGAGAAGCTGGGATTACACATGTGAACCACACCTGGCTTCTTTTTTTTTGGGGGGGGGGGGGTGGGGGTCCGGTCATGGGACCTGAACTCTGGGCCTAGGCGCTGTCCCTCAGCTCTTCAGCTCAAGGCTAGTGCTCTACCACTTGAGCCACAGTGCCACCTCCGGCTTTTTTCTTTTTGCTTATGTGGTGCTGAGGAATCGAACCCAGGGCCTCTGGCATGCAAGGCATGCGCTCTACCACTGAGCCACCTTCCCAGCCCACACCAGGCTTCTTTAATATTTTGCCCAGGTTGACTCTCAACCTAGGCCTCTAGGATTACTGAGTGTGAGCCACCAGACCCACACTGAGGACTAAAGGAAACTCTAGCACCTAAAGCAGGGTCTGGAGCAAAGCATTTTATAAACACTCATTGAATACTGGAATGACTACAGAAAAAGTTAAATCCTTGTCACCAGGCAGATTACTCACAAATAAGTATGCTGACTTTAAGTAGTATAAAGTAATTGCTTGTGTAAGGAAAACTGACTCCTCAAGATTAGGTAAGTAGTTAAGTATAGGGCTGCACACCTGTAATCTCAGGTTAAGGCAGGAGGATAGCAGTTGGAGGCCAATCTGGGCAACATAGCAAGACTCTCCCCTTCAAAGAAAGGTAAGTAGACACCCTGCCCTCCATCAGGCAACAAGCTACACCAGGCAAGGATCAACCTCATCTATTAAGCAGGGAAGTTGAAAAGGAACAGAAGGTAGTGACAGCTAAAGCCCCGGGGCTTGAACTCAGGGACTGGGTGCTGTTCTGGCACAGTTCAGGAGCTTTTTTGCTCAAGGCTGGCTCTCTATTGCAACAGCTCCACTTCCGGCTTTTTTTTTTTTTGGCTGGTTAATTGCAGATAAAAAGTTTTTACTAACTTTTCTACCTGCCTGGCTTCATAACTCAAGTCCTCAGATCTCAGCCTCCAAAGTAACTAGGCTTATAGGTATAGATCAGAAGAAGTGCCCAGCTCTAGGGAAGCTCTTTAACATACGCCTCTGCGTAGTAAAACAACACACAGGCTCAACTCACTGCTGTAGAAGAACAGAAGCTCATTTTTCAAGTGACTCTTGGAAGGTTGTATGTGAACAGTCATCATCAAACACACAGCTCTTCAGGTCATTTTAGCATCTCGCGTCGGACCTGCAACTAAACGTACAGAAAAGTACAGAATGCGAAGGCAAGAAGAGGGTCTGGAAAGTCGGCTCTTCACACAAATCAATACAGGAGGACTGCCAGGACATGGAGAAGAGGAAGTAGCCCAGGGTCCCACGGCTCTGCCGCTCCCCATCGGGTCTCCTCAAGGGGCCTCTCCACGCCCCGACTCGGGGACCCCAGACAGGGGAGAAGGGGACCCCCACACACTCCCGACTCGGGGACCCGGACGGGGGAGAAGGGGACCCCCACACACACTCCCGACTCGGGGACCCCGGACGGGGGAGAAGGGGTCCCCCACACCCCGACTCGGGGACCCTGGACGGGGGAGAAGGGGACCCACACACACTCCCGACTCGGGGACCTCGGACGGGGGAGAAGGGGACCCACACACACACTCCCGACTCGGGGACCCCGGACGGGGGAGAAGGGGACCCCCACACACACTCCCGACTCGGGGACCCCGGACGGGGGAGAAGGGGACCCCCACACCCCCGACTCGGGGACCCCGGACGCGGATAGGCGAGGCCTGGCAGACCCAAGTCGGCTTCGGGGACCCCAGGCCGCGTCCTGGGGACACAATGGGGGTCCCCCGCCAACGCCACAGCGGCCACCGTGGGGAAAGCACCTGCGAGGCCCCCCTGGAAGGGGTGTCACCCCTCCTCAGCGCCCCCCGCCATCTCGGGGACCCCCCCCACGCCCAACCCCACCCCATCGCCCGGCCACTCACCGCTGATAGAGCCGGCTCCCGCGGCGGCCGCAATTTGAATGCGCGCCTCGCCTTCTGATTGGCTGCCGGACGTGCGTCAAAAGCCGCGCCCGGAAGCGCCGCGGATTGGGTTCTAGACGCCAGCTTCGCCCCGCCCCCGCCCCGCAGAAAACGTCATGAGCCAATGAGCGTGGAGCTCCGGCCGCAGGGCGTCCCGCGTGGGGAGGGGGCGGGGCCGCAGCGGGAATCCCGCCAAAACGCGCGTCTGAGGACCATGGGGACTGGGGCGCCCGTGCGGGTCCTTGATGTGAAGAAGCTGGAGCCGGGCGCCGTGGCCCACGCCGTGATCCCAGCTACTCGGGAGGCTGAGGATCAGGGTTCAAAGCCAGCCCGGGCATCAAGGTCCGTGACTGTCTTGTTCTGGTTTCTCTAATTAGCCCGCAAGAGCTGGACGAGGAGCTGCGGCGCAAGTGGTCGAGCCCCAGCCTGGAACAAAACGGCTAAGGGTCAGCGCCCAGAGCCCCCCACAAGTCGGCCTCCCACCAGGACCTCACGTCCACCCCAGGAAGCACACCGTCTGTGCAAGGCGGTGAGCTGCGAAGCGTGCTGAGTGCCTTACGTGGTGTTTTTTTTCTAATGTAATCCTGGAAATTTTACGGGGTAAATATTCATATTATTCCCAGTTTATAGATGAGAGGTGAGGTTCTGCATTAATAAACGTAAACGATCTAACAGCCTGCGAGTGGGATGTCTAGAAACAGGATTTAGTCCAGTTTCAGTAAAACCTGGACAGAACAGAGAATGAGAAGAACCAGGGTAAGGAAAAGGATTTTAGGCAAATACATACTCTAAAGTAACAACATCTTAATGGGCAATAAGTGCAGATAATCAAAGTGTTTTGAAGGATAAAAAGAGAACCAGAAGTAGCTGCAACTGTATAGAAAAACTGGATGGATAATAGTCATTCTTATCTTCCTAAAATTAATTAAAATCCAGCTATCCAGGGCAATCACAAGTAATTCATATGAACGTACATACAAGTGCAAACATTCAGCTATTAAATACACGTTTTTAAAAAATTAGGAATGAGTAAAAAAAAAATCTCGTTTGAGTATTATGAATTTTGCATGAAAATTTAAAGAATACATTTCTTTCTTCTTTTTCTTTCTTTTTTTTTTTTTTTGTCGGTCATGGGGCCTGAATTCTGAGCCTGGGCACGGTCCCTTAGCTCTTCAGCTCAAGGCAAGCACTCTACCACTTGATCATAACACCACTTCTGGCTTTTTCTGCTTATGTGGTGCTAAGGAATCGAACCCAGGGCCTCATGCATACAAAGCAAGCACTCTACCACTGACCCACCTTCCCAGCCCCTAAAGTATACGTTTCTAGGGTCACAAATTAAAGTGCTTCTTGAGATAAAGGGCCATATCTGTTTTGAGTGAATCCCTTGTGTTTAGTACAAGGCCTGGTATACAGTAGATGTTTAATAAATGCCCTTCTAGAAAGGAGAACAATGGTGTATTGGAAGATCTATAAAGATAGTCATCCCTTTTGAACAAGGTATGTAACCAAAAAGAGTTCTTTCTTTAAAAAAAATTTTCATGAATCAAGAGTTTGCAGGAATATTGTCTCTCTGTATTTAGCTTTAAACTGGGAAAAGTCCAAATGCCCAATTTCAAAAGCTCACTGAACGTTTGGAAATGAGGACAACTTACAACCATTATGCCCACTGAAGTTACCCAGTAACTAAATAAATCGAGTAGCACCAGACAAGGCCTGGTCTCTAAGCCCTGTGGCCGGGTGCCCCCGCAGACTGTGGGCTCTAGGTGGCGCTCTCACCCTGCTGTTTCTGGCAACTGGCAGGGACTCCATGGGGCCTTCACCAGGCCACCAGCTACCCACACTTCCTGCTTCCTTCTTTCTCTGTCTCAGTGCACTCCAAGTTCAAGTCCAACGCCAGGATGCATACTCCACAAACTCAAGGGCCACACATGAGCCATCTCCACCTTACTCAAGAGGAATTTTGATCTTTTGAGGTATTCTCCCTGAGATAGCGTTTTTTCCTCTGCAAATCCCATCCAAAGCTGACTAGCAGAGAAAGCCACTTAACCTCTCGCAGTGACTCAGGCTCCGCCTTGGGAAATCACAGATGATGAGTGCACCCCACCCCAAAGACTCACTCGGAGGCTTAAACTAGATTATGTCTGCAAAGTGCTTGGCCCCGAGCCTAGTGCTCCGCAACCGCTAGCTGCTGCGAAGAAAAGCCCCATTCAAGGCCGGCACTGAGGAGCTGGGCTTGTGCACTGCGGGGCTCTCTGTAATAATAATAATGGCACGTTGGATGAAGGATGTGGATTATGATTTTTAATCCCTAGAAATAGCTGCAAGACGGAATAGTGAGTCCTTTTGTGAAGGATTTCACTGAGCTCTAGTAAAAAAAAGTAGCAGAGAACAATGCAATACTGTCTAGGGGAAAGCTGTACTAATCTCTATTTTGTACCTGTTTGATTAAACTTAGAATGCTTCTTGAGATAAAGGGCCATATCTGTTTTGAGTGAATCCCTTGTGTTTAGTACAAGGCCTGGTATACAGTAGATGTTTAATAAATGCTCTTCTAGAAAGGAGAACAGTGGTGTATTGGAAGAGCTATAAGGATAGTCATCCCTTTTGAACAAGGTATGTAACCAAACAGAGTTCTTTCTAAAAAATTTTTTTTCATGAACCAAGAGTTGGCAGGAATATTGTCTCTATATTTAGCTTTAAACTGGGAAAAGTCCAAATGCCCAATTTCAAAAGGTCACTGAACATACAGACTTTGTATGGGAAAAAAGGAGTCTAGAAAATAACAATTTAGCCAGTGCAAGTTCTGTAGAACAAACCACCAGACACTTCTCTATTATGTTTTTAAGCCTTGGCCAGCATCCCTCTGGTCTTTGGAATGTAACACTTTCTCCAACACTGCAAAGCAATCAGTGTCTTCCAGCTGCACACAGAGCAGCTATTTAAATAATCATGTAGTTGGATGCCGGTGGTTCACACCCGTAACAGCAGCTACTCAGGAGGCTGAGACCTGAGGACTGAGGTTTTAAGCCAGCTCAGGCACACAAATCCACTTGACTTTTATCTCCAATTAACCAGCAACAAGCTAGAAATGGAGGTGTGGAGCAAAAAATGCCAAGTTTTAATTTCAGAATCAAAAACTTATCTCTGCTATCCAGTTAGGCTCAGAAGGAAGGAAGAAAAGATAGGTCCCAAACACCTGCAGTAAGAGCATGGAGATGAGCAGGTGCTGGACTGGGGAGGGGGAGGGGCTTCCCCTGCTCAGACCTCCTCTTAGACCAGATAGATTCTGTTGCAAGAACCAGACCAGCACACATGAACACTTCAGGTGGCCAGAACTCGGGTTTGAATTCAGGGCCTTGATCTTGCTAGGCAGGTGCTCTATCATATGAGTCATGTCCCAGACCTTTTTGCTTCAGGTTATTTTCAGTCAATGTCTTGTACTTTTTACCCAAGCCAGCCTCGTGCTAACATCCTCCTACCTATACCTTCCTGTGTAATTAGGATCACAGGCATAAGCCACCACACTTGGTTTATTCTTTTTTTTTCTTTTCTTTCTTTATTTTTTGCCAATCCAAGCTAGCACTCTTACCATATGAGCCACAGCACCACTTCTGGCTTTTTCTGTTTATGTGGTACTCAGGAATCAAACCCAGGGTTTCATGCATGCTAGGCAAGCACTCTACCACTAAGCCACATTCCCAGCCCACTTGGTTTGTCCTTTGGCATGGGGTCTTGCTAACTTATTTGGTCCAGGTTGGTCTCCAGTCATGATCCTCTCTCTATTCCTCAAGTAGCTGGGATGACAGACAGATGCCACCATGCCAAACCAACAGAAAACACCTTAACCTGTCCCAAATCATCCTTACAGTAATTGTGAAGGTAAAAGTAAGCAGTTTTATCAAAAATCCACCAGAGGGCGACAAACTGAAGGGGAATATGTGAAAAGAGTTCAGTAGCCAGGCCTTTTAGAAAAGGTAAGATTTAAAGAACATTTAAAGAATGTATTTGTGCGAATAGTCTCTTGGTCCAGGTCCCCACGCCTTGTTTGTTTTTCAGTCATTGAAATGGAACCCGGGGCCTGGCACATCGTAGGCTAGCTCTCTATCACTGAAACAGCTCTTGGTTTTTGAGACAGGAGCTCGCTGTGTGGCACAGCTGGCCACAAACTCCTAGTCCTCATGTCTTAGCCTCTGGAAGGCTGAG